AGTTTTTTTATTTTTTCTATTTGCCAGTACTGGTTTTTTAAAGCAAGGTTCTTGTGAACAAATGAGTGTATTGTACAGAGCTTGATTTACAATACAGTAACTCTATTTGAAAAGTTCTGTATAATGAATGATAATTTGAAAATGGCTTTGAAAAAACAATCATTTAGTAAACTAAAGCTTTTCGTCTGACACTCTTCAGAGTTTGAAATGTCAGAACATAGACCGAAAACTCTACGCTAGGAAATATATATACCCAGTTGTGGATCGAAATCAAAACTGCTTTTCTGGTAGACTGAACAAAGCTCTCTAGCTTTTTGAGGGGCTCTTCTGACTCACTTGTTGCGGCCAGGTTTGCTTTCTATGCCTTTATGTATTTCTATAGCTATATACTTTTTCAAAAAACATTAATCTTATGAAACACCGCGTGTAACAAATTATCTGGTGTTGTTAAAAGACAAAAGGCTAATCGATGTCTGAAACAAATCCCCTTGCAGATTCCTTCAAAGAAACAAACAAAAGAAGAATAGGTTTACAATATTTTCGTCGTACTAACACATTTAAGCCTTGTCAATGAATGAGAAATGCTACTGACATATTAACTGATACGTTGAAAAACTGAGAAATCCATCCGACACTGCAGCATAGCCATAAATATTTGTAAACTGTCGACGAAAATATGTAGTCACAACAACTTTTTCATTGACAAATGTTTTACAGGCTTTTTGTTTAAGTTGTTCATTCATCTGCTGCAGTGCCTTTTGTCATAAAGAACCTAATAGAAGTACAATCTATCTTGAGCCCGCTAATGTTTAATAAGTTAATAAATAAAAGATTTATAAGCAAGTCCCTGCAGTATTGGCTCGTGTCGTAAGTTTATTTTGCATCATATCGTCTATAAAAAATTTCTTCGGTTATATCCTCGCATTAAGTGTCCATTAAAGCACTCAGAATCTAGAGCGAGTCGTCATGAGGTCTGTGCGTTAGGTTTCATCCATCTATAATTCTTAAGTTCTTTGCAGCAGCATCATATGCCTTGTCATTGCCTGTAAATTTACTTTCTTCTTCTCTTGGCTGGACAGCAGTAGATTGGACATGAAGCGATACATCGATTTGGACAGATTGGTGGGCATGGTGGTGGAGGTGGTGCTGGTTGGCCAGGTGGTCCACCAGCTCCTGGAGGTCCAGGTGGTCCAGGAGGTCCAGGTGGTCCAGGCGGTCCTAATGGTCCTTGTCCACCAGGAGGTCCTTGTGGTCCTTGTGGTGCAGGAGGAGCAGGAGGTCCTGGTGGTCCAGCTGGTCCAGGTCCACCAGGGGGTCCCGGAGGTCCACCAGGTCCAGGGGGTCCTAAAGGTCCAGGTCCACCAGGAGGTCCAAGTGGGCCAGGTGGTGCAGGTGGTGCTGGAGGTCCAGGTGGTCCAGCAGGTCCAGGTCCGCCAGGAGGTCCAGGAGGCCCACCAGGTCCAGGGGGTCCTAAAGGTCCAGGTCCGCCAGGAGGTCCAAGTGGGCCAGGTGGTGCTGGAGGTGCTGGAGGTCCGGGAGGTCCAGGTTGTCCTGGTCCACCAGGAGGTCCGGGAGGTCCACCAGGTCCAGGAGGTCCACCAGGTCCAGGTCCACCAGGAGGTCCTTGTGGGCCAGGTGGTGGTGGTGCAGGTGGCCCAGGTGGTCCACCTGGTCCAGGTCCACCAGGAGGTCCAGGAGGTCCACCAGGTCCAGGAGGTCCTAAAGGTCCAGGTCCGCCAGGAGGTCCAAGTGGGCCAGGTGGTGCAGGTGGTGCTGGAGGTCCAGGTGGTCCAGCAGGTCCAGGTCCGCCAGGAGGTCCAGGAGGCCCACCAGGTCCAGGGGGTCCTAAAGGTCCAGGTCCGCCAGGAGGTCCAAGTGGGCCAGGTGGTGCTGGAGGTGCTGGAGGTCCGGGAGGTCCAGGTTGTCCTGGTCCACCAGGAGGTCCGGGAGGTCCACCAGGTCCAGGAGGTCCACCAGGTCCAGGTCCACCAGGAGGTCCTTGTGGGCCAGGTGGTGGTGGTGCAGGTGGTCCAGGTGGTCCACCTGGTCCAGGTCCACCAGGAGGTCCAGGAGGTCCACCAGGTCCAGGAGGTCCTAAGGGTCCAGGTCCGCCAGGAGGTCCTAAAGGACCAGGAGGTGCAGGTGGGGCAGGAGCTCCAGGAGGTCCAGCAGGTCCTGGTCCGCCAGGAGGTCCTGGGGGCCCACCAGGTCCAGGAGGTCCTAAAGGTCCAGGTCCGCCAGGAGGTCCAAGAGGACCTGGTATTGGTGGTGCAGGTGGTCCAGGGGGTCCAGGTTGTCCAGGTCCACCAGGGGGTCCTGGAGGTCCACCAGGTCCAGGAGGTCCTAAGGGTCCAGGTCCACCAGGTGGTCCTAGAGGGCCAGGTGGTGCAGGTGGAGCAGGAGGTCCAGGGGGTCCAGGTTGTCCAGGGCCACCAGGAGGTCCAGGGGGTCCACCAGGTCCAGGAGGTCCTAAGGGTCCAGGTCCACCAGGAGGTCCTTGTGGACCAGGTGGGGCAGGTGGAGCAGGAGCTCCAGGAGGACCAGGTTGTCCGGGGCCACCAGGAGGTCCAGGAGGTCCTCCAGCTCCAGGAGGTCCTAAGGGTCCAGGTCCACCAGGAGGTCCTGGTGGGCCAGGTGGAGGAGGTGAAGGAGGTCCAGGAGGTCCAAAAGGTCCTGGTCCACCAGGAGGTCCAGGTGGGCCACCAGGTCCAGGGGGTCCTAAAGGTCCAGGTCCACCAGGAGGCCCAAGTGGGCCAGGTGGTGCAGGTGGTGCTGGAGGTCCAGGAGGTCCAGGCTGTCCAGGCCCACCAGGAGGTCCAGGAGGTCCACCAGGTCCAGGAGGTCCTAAGGGTCCAGGTCCACCAGGAGGTCCTGATGGGCCGGGTGGTGCAGGTGGTGCTGGAGGTCCAGGAGGTCCAGGCTGTCCTGGTCCACCAGGAGGTCCAGGAGGTCCACCAGGTCCAGGAGGTCCTAAAGGTCCAGGTCCACCTGGAGGTCCAGATGGTCCAGCTTGAGGTGGTGATGGAGGTCCGGGTGGCCCTGGTTGTCCAGGCCCACCAGGAGGTCCAGGAGGTCCTCCAGGTCCAGGTGGTCCACCAGGTCCAGGTCCTCCTGGTGGTCCACCTGGGCCAGGAAGTGCTATTCCAGGAGGTCCTGGGGGTCCTGATGGACCTTGCCCTCCTGATGGTCCTGCTGGTCCACCAGGTCCCATTGGGCCAGATCCACCAGGCAATCCAAGTGGTCCAGGTCTACCCGGAGGCCCAGGTGGTCCTGGTAAAGCAGGTGGTGGTGGTGGTGGAGGAGGTGGAGGTGGAGGTGGAGGGGGTGGTGGAGGTGGTGGGGGAGGAGGTGGTGGAGGTGGTGCAGCTAAGCAGCAAACTGGTAGACATGATGGTGCGCAGGATACTGGAGCAGCGCATGGTGCATCACATTGTGGTCTAGGATGTCTTTTTACCAAATCTGAAACAGAATAAAAAATATATAGCCATACAGCTTTTCTTATCTAGCAGATAGATTTACACCTTATTGCAAGTCTTTTACAAATCAAGGCATTCAAAAGACATTCTGTCATTACTATTTTAATACCATCTAATGTTTCTAAAATGGATTTTAAAAAGTCTTCACTGTTGCGCTAAAAATAATCTCTAGGCTTGTTTTAGAATTTGAACAGATTCATAAAACATGGAAATACAGCATGACCCGAGATTTTGCACAAAGAAAGTGCCTATGCGTCTAGATTATTGTTACTTTTCCACGCAGCAGCATATATGTCAATTGCTAAAGCTTTTTTCTCGTTATTCTTTTTTCGGAGCAAGCTCTGCACTTCGTATGCAGCCATCTTCATCAATGTATTTAAACGATTATCTAATTTTTGTGCAGCCGATAAAATGCCAATTCTTGAAAATGTTTTGGCATGCTTCGGCCATGTCGTGTTTAAAAGCCTCACACTTGAGCTTTTTATACTCGAAAAATAAGGAAATATGCCTTAAGAAGCAAAGAAGAGTCTGAAATTTGCAAAAAAAGAAATTTAATAGCATTTTTAGAAACCATAATTCTTAATTTTTGTTCCTAACGCAAGGTAATGAAAAATTGATGTAAACCAAGTAGAAAGAAGGGTAGGGGTATAGCTTGCTAAACGTGAAGAGTTAACGACAGGGTGAGGGTGCTAAGAAACAGGATAAAAATGACATGTGAACGTACTTAAACTCAAGACAATCATGCTTTTCTTACTTTAAGAACTCGCTTTATATTCAACTTATTTGTTTATGATCAACAGCTATAAATTTTATAAAGGACCAGATAAACTTCTGGTTTTAGTGTATCAGCTTATACAAAATTTGTAGTAAGAAACCGAATTCAAATTGAAAAAAAAATCAAAACAATTTCCGATATAAAGAAAATAATAACTGTTGGTGTTTTAAACCGTCTCCCTCAGTGAAAAATCAAAAGAAACCAACAATCAAATGACATCTGAGTAAATAAGATATTTTTTAGGATGTCTGCTTCCAAGAATTTAACAAAAACAAACAAATCATTTTCAAATGTTTTTACCAGACAGGGCTTTTAATTTTCATCTAAAAAAATTTATTGAAAAATTATATTTCGTGAGATTATCTTAAGAAATCAGTTAATGTTGATGTCCAGGATTGCTCGAATAAGCCTTGGTTTACTATCACATGGCATGAAAGAAATCAGCGGCTGTAAACTACTTTTATTACTATAATTGTATGTATATTTAAATGAAGTGAGTGCAGATTTTAATATGTCGAATCATATTTTCTTTTTTTAACGACCATTATGGCTGAATTAAGAAAATATCTGATGTACTTATCCAGAAACCGTGTATCTAAAATTCAAACTTAATTCCTTCGTATTTGTCTCTTAAATTCCAACTTAATTTCAAACAGTCTATCATTCAAAATTGATGTTGAAGTAAAATCAGAATATAAAAATCTACTACAACATAGAAGATTCGATGCTAGAGTAATAACATAAAAAGTAGAAGGTACTTACGATGTAAATGGTTTCGATTCGTTAGGTGTCTTGCGCTGGCTAGTGCCAAGCAGGCAGCGAGTATGCTGAGAAGAAACCTCATATTTTTGGCTGTTGAAAATCAAATTGAGAAAATCAGTCTTAAATCATAAAGCGAAGTAAATTCTACGCCATGATTGCTGTTGCAAACTTGTCGTTTGATCAGAATGGAAAAATTTTCCTTTTGTAACTGGTGCTGGCAAGTGACTTCGCTTGAAAGGCTCTGCAGGTTGGTATCACCTAGGGGTCATTCAAGTGAAACCAAAATGTTATGCCTGGTGGCACAGATCATGAGCATTCTTGTCGCCAGACAAATCAGGTGGCTTAGTAGAGCTATTTGCCCTAATCAGGGCTATTTCTGTATTGATTGCAATTTTTTCTTTATTTTGAAAAAGAAAAGCATTTTTCTTCTTTTAGAGTTATTCGAATAACTGGAGAACATCCACTATCGGAATGCAATGATCTTGCTGGTATCGGAATGAATCACCTGCTGTCGAAACCATCACGGTCAAAAACCATGTTTACGCAGCAAAACCCCTTCAAAGTATGCCCAGAGTATCTATACAAAAACAACATCTAGTGTTATCCATGTTTTAGCCTTCATATAAATTCTATATAGTGAGATAACCCCAGCTGAGTGAAAGATACAATAGTAAATCATAGACAGATTTAGCTAAACAATTGTGTAAACATTGTGCGAGTACCTCATAACACAAATATACCTTTTTCTTTGTAGACTGTAACAGCCCTCAATATATGTGTCAGAGTATTTTGTTAAACTTTATGTGAGTATTTTTGACCGATCTAGTTTTTTTATATTGTTTTTAATTGAAAGAGGTTTGACCTGTGTTCCTTTTTTTTCGTGAACAGAATTTTGATTAAATATTTGCCTTGATCCTTAATCATTCTTCTTCCAAATATCCTTATTTTCTTCCATGTATAGGAGAGTGACAAGATTATGCAACAGCAACACATGAAAATTGAGAGCAAATGAATAGTAAGATTAACTTCCTTTTTAATTCGCTAAAGTTTAACTCAGAACATTGAGTAAACTAAAATACAGCGCCGTCAACCATTACCTTAAAACAAATTTGCTTCATGCAAGATTTCTTTGATGTTTTGAGTGTTTTTGTTGTGACATTAACTAAACCTTTAAATTAAAACAAATTTGCTTCATGCAAGACTTCTTTGATGTTTTGAGTGTTTTTGTTGTGACATTTACTAAATCTTTAAACTTTCGATCGGAAAAATGCCCACTTCTGCTTTAATTTAAAAATAACATAACAGTAGAATAATAGTATATTGCTTGATGATCATGGTTGAAGGCGTTGGTGGTTAGTTAGGATACGTCGAATGAAAAGTCAATATGACTTACCTCGTGTGCCCGGTTTCCTCTCCGCGATGCGAGAGTAATACTGATCGCTTAAAATCAGCTAACAAAAGAATACCCCTAATGTATGAATTATAAAGAGGTTACCTACGTGGCTACCAAGTCTTCGCCCAAGATCAAAAACAAAGGTACGCTTCCTTGAACCTGTCAAAAGTCATAACTACATTTTTGCATGTGGCTGCAATTACAAAGGGGTCAAGCATGACCTAATGGTTAATCTTCTGATCAAGCAGCTACCCACCCAAATCACTGAGGCATTAGTCCTAGTAGCTTTTCACAATCAACATTTTTAAACTATTCCAATCAGCTGCTTTCGTAGTCTAGCAGTGCTTTACAGTCAAAAGGAGGCCATGATTGGAATCGAGAGAGGTTCCCTAAATCTTCACTTCGGATTTTGAAGACGTTTTTGAAAGCCACTGTTTTAAAATCGTCACACTCTGTTTCTTACAAGAATTAATTTTAAAAGCTTTCTAAATATATTTCTATTTAGACCTACTTTTGCCCTATGTGAATGAAGAAATACCTCTGCTAATTTTTTCAAGAGTATTTGCAAAGCAAAGATAGCCTATATCTACAAGATTGAATTATCATAGAAATGTATTACAAGAACAGAAAAAGCTGGGTATAGAATAAACATTCTTCTAGGGAACAGCTGAGATGAAAGGTTGACATGTTCCAGCGCTCAAAGCCCTTGTTTAGAAGCAGTCAATATCGGTTGTGCCTTTGTAGGCTTCAGAGACATATTAGCAAACCCTAAGGACATTTCGGCTGAAACTATTAGGCTCTTTTAATTCATAGTCATCTTTAAAAAACAATCGATGATGTATAACTTTTTAACTATTCCGGAAAACTTTCCTCTTAATTTGTCACTTTGCCTTTTACACCTGCATATATGTGACATTTTATGTTCCAGCTTGAGTAAGTCTCTTGAAAGCATTTGCTTTTATTTGCTATTCATAATGGGCCGAATACAGTTCTTTTGATTTTGGCTTAGTTGCTGCGAAATGAGCAAAAAGAATTTTTAAATTTTCGAATAAATTTTCGACGGCTCATTCTTACAATACGATTTGAAAATTGCTTTGAAAAAAGCAAACATTTTTCAACATATTGGCTAAAAGCTTTTTGGTATGACACTCCTCGAGCATAAAACATCAGAATACAGTTTTGTGCTTGCGCTGTTCTGGTTGGCCTACTTCGATCCACAACTGGGTATATATTTTTCATCGTGTTCTTTCGGACCCTTATTCTGACGTTATGCTATGAGGAGTGTCAGACGAAAAAGCTTTTAGCTAAAACGTTGTAAAATGCTTGTTTTTTCAAAGCCATTTTTAAGTTCTGTACCGCCAAAAAACAATGCGATTTGTATCAGAATTTCTATTTAAAAAACTCTATCGATATGACTCTTCAATATGCTTATTTTTTAGAAGGGCTGATGCCAAAACACGAGAAGAAGATAAGAACGGACACAGAAAGGAATAGGCTTGTTAATACTGTCCCGAGAAATGGCATAATATGACCCATATATTCATTCTAGAGACAGTTGTTCTACACACCGCATTCCCATTTCCTCTCAAAACAAATTATGTGCATCCACTGAATAAAATAATTAGAGGCCTTTCTGCTTGAAATTGCTTTGCTGGTTGTAAATATGATTTCAAAAGTTTGATACGAGTATTTGCTCATGTCATAGCTACAAAATTGCTTTCTTATTTTTTAATGATGTTAGTACGTCACTTTTCAAACAAAGAAATTTAATTAAGCGTTAAAATCAAATTTTACTTCAAACTTTGCCACTGGCAAGGAGTATTAGCAATAGTATTCTTGCAAGTAAAGTAGCCTTTCCAAAACATTTTTCTAGAGCCATTTGCATTAACATGTAGTCTTAATTTTTAGTTCATGTTAATATTTTTTTAGCAGTTTTACTAATATTTAATATTTTAATGTTTTTTGTTAATGTATTTATGTGATGTTAAAAAACCATAGAGGTCACACTTGCATCTAACTTGAGAAAGATAAAACATAGAATTTTATTCTTAATTTTGTTCATTTTTCATATTTTGTTTCATTTTTTTCAATTTTGTTCATGTGTTCAAGAGCGCTTTACAGTCGTAGTTTGTGATTCTATGGAATTTGAAAAGCTTTTATTATAGGGTAGTGTTCTTACACTAAGGATCAAAAGCACTCATGCCCTTTAGGGTGGCACATATTATTGTTAAGCATACATCAAGCCGGGCATACCAGGGTGAAATATTAGCATAATGGTTTCAATTCATTTGTTATTTGTTGTTGATTATTTCACGCATCGCGGCGAAACTCTATTTTTTACATTCTTTATCTGCTATATTATCATTTAACTTCTTCGTTTTCCCTCAAGTAACATATTGTTTAGCTTTTTAAAAGCCTGTTTTTTTCGTACATTTGTCTTAAGTTACAAAACCTTCTACTTTATTTTCAAAATTTGAAGCTTGACTAACCCTTAAGTTTTTTCTGCATCTTAAAAACTAGCTTGTCACTTTATCTTTTTTGTTTTTATTAACAAAGCCTTTTAAGTGCATTTCTTAATTTTGGAAGCTTTGACTAAGCTTTTGCATTTTTAAAACCTGTTTGTTCTTTTATCTTTTTTTGTTGTACAGAACTTTTAAAGTGCATTCCTTAACTTGTGAAACTTTGATTAAACCTTAACTTTGTTTCTGCATTTTATACACCTGTCAGTTCTTGCATCTTGTCTGTGTTTTACAGAACATTCCAAGTTCAATGCCCAAGTGCTGAAGCTTTGACTAAGCTCTTAAACGCAAGAGAAAGTAAAGAGTAAAGAGGCTTCTTCTAGCAAATATCATTTCATTAATATCTTGATAAGAACATAACACAGCTTTAAAACGCTATATTTGATTCATATTTCTTAGTAGTTTATTAGCCACAATTAGATCATTAGACTTGTCGAGTCCATCTTCCAAATATCCATAAATAACGCAGCTCATGACAAAACAATGAAGTTTATCCCTCAGTCATCAATTGATCTTCTTTTCAAATCGAATTTGTCAGCTCCATTCGAGACAATAAAATGTTCTTTGAAATACTCTAATTCATTACTTTTGTTCATTGAACTTTGTTATTTATTCGTCGTTTTCCTCACAGCATTTAACCGCAGACTGAGCACATTGGTGGTGGTGGTGCGGGAGGTGGTGGGCAGCACATTGGTGGTGGTGGTGGAGGAGGTGGTGGTGGTGGGGGTGGTGGTGGTGGTGGAGGTGGTGGTGGAGGAGGTGGTGGTGGTGGTGGAGGTGGTGCACAACATGGCATTGGGCATACCTTCATACAATGGTGAACGCAGATTGGTGGGCATGGTGGTGGTGGTGGAGCTGGGGCACCAGGTGGACCAGGTGGTCCTGCTGGTCCCATTGGTCCCATTGGTCCTGGGCCTCCTGGGCCTCCTGGTGGTCCCATTGGTCCTGGTCCTCCTGGGCCTCCTGGGTGTCCAGCTGGTCCTGGTGGTCCTGGTGGACCTGGCATTGGTGGTGGGGGTGGTGGTGGTGGTGGAGGTGGTGGTGGAGGTGGAGGAGGTGGTGGTGGTGGAGGTGCACAGCACATAATTGGTGGTGGGGGTGGTGGTGGTGGTGGAGGTGGTGGAGGAGGTGGTGGCGGTGGTGCACAGCATGATGGTGCACAGGCTGGTGCGCAAGAAGGAGCACATGACATTCCACATGGGAATGGATTTGGTGATCTCTTGACATCTGCAATTCGAAAAAAGGTACATGAGTTCATTGATTGATGGAAAGGTTGAAATTCAAAGAAGATTTTGTCATTGTAAGTGCATTTTATCATTGGATATTCTATTTGTTGATATTCTAAATTTTCTCTTGAATATCCGTGTTGTTGATAAAAATCTTTTTCTTGTTCTGTTTAATGTGAATTTGGTCTGTTGCTGCTAGCAGAGAATAAATTCTTCTCAGTGTTAGTGGTACAGCAATTATAGAACTGTAAACTTTGGACCGCATTCATATGAGAATCCGTCCTATTTTAACGTTTATTATGATTTTGAACTATTAAAAATGTAGGTATTATTCGTGGCAAATAAGAATATATGCAATCTTTTTTGTCACTAAAATATATGTTTCCAGCTTTGGTTTGTAGACCGTCTCATCTAAAGTCAACATGAGCACATAACGAAATACCATTATTTTTAAAGAGTTGAATTGCATCAATGGATAATTATTATCTTTCTTCTAATCGGCATGTCAAATAAAGATTTTCTAATGCGTGCACCGTTGATCAAAAATGGAGATTTTAGAAAAAGGAGTAAATGAAATTTCAAATCGAGTACTTACTAGTCTTTGCGGAGGCAAAAGCCACGCATACTGCGAGGATGACTATCCTCATCTCCATCTAGAAAAAAAATGTAATTTATTAGTTTCGTTTCTTTATGAAAATGTTCAAATGATGAATGCAGATATTCTAAAGTCTGTAAAATGTGTGCATCTGAATCTTTGTGTGCATCTGAATCTTTGTGAGAGACATTGTGCAATATTTTTTCTGCAAAGAAAGATTTCTTGCCATGTTCCTGATTGTGCTTGAAATCAAAATCAAATATCAATCTAAAATTCAATCGATAGCTCAGGATGTCACATACATCTGAACAATACGATAAAGATGGAAATTAATATAGAACAATGTATCCTCTGCCAATAAATTGAACAAGATTGGCTGTAGATTGATGTTGCTTTGCCAGTCCTAGGCAATCTGTAGTGAAAGCATACCTTGTTAGTGCTGCGTTTAGTCACTGTTCCTCAAGACGGACAACTGTATTGAACTGACTAATTTTCAGATACGTAGGTGCAAGTGCCACTGTCCTAATCTCCCTGATTAAAAATTCAAGTAGCCGGTCAAGCGGGGCGCCACCAGCTATACCATCATACCCTGACCTAGCCTATTGTTTAGAGTCAGTCAACTGTGTTACAGGTGATGCCTTTTGTGATGTATCATGTCAAATATCTGTTTTGGAAAGATAACCCTACACCCCTTGATCCCTTGTTTCCATATCGCTTAACAATGCATTGCTAACACATAACTTGTTAAACTGGCATCTAACTTGTAACATAAAATGAAACCACAACTGACTGTCTATCATTGTTCCTGATATTTTCTTGATTTTAAAGGAAGAGCACGTTGCGAACAAATTTACTTTCAACTCTTCTGATCGGAGAACCTGATCAATTTTTGTGTCATTATTCTTCAAAACGTGTCTTTTCCCAGAAATTTGTTTTATCTATTAGCAAAATGAATGTCTGTTTCTCAATTTATTTTCATTTCTATGATTCGATCTCTTTGACTTCCAGATTGAAGGACAGCTGCATACAAAGCCAACTAAGGAGCACCATATCTATGTCCCTTTAAGCTTCAGTTTTGGGTTCTTCAATTTATTTGCTTCTTTGATTTTTTATGATTTTTAAATTCCTTAATGCTCATTTTTATTGCCATCATTATATTCGTGAAAAATTGCACTCGGCTTTTTAAAAATACAATGCTTTGTCACGTTTTCTAAAGTGTGTATAGATTTATTTTATTTTTGAACGAATGGCAATACATGCTATATTTATTTTTGAATGATATCTGTCCATCCGTAGGCTACAAGTTTCAAATAGTATTTTTGATTATCAGGAAAACTTGGTGTTTTTTTATGCAAAGTAAAATGTATTTTTGTCTACAAAAATTGATCCTGCCTGCGACATATCTTTGTTTAAAGTGACTGCATACTTTTGCTGACGTTTGTAACTAGCAATGGATTTTTGTTTACATTAAAGGCTCGATAATGTCATGAAAAATCCCTACCCACTTAGTTTTTCAACAGAAAAGGCTACTTTCTACAAGAGCTAGTAATAAATTAAAAGTATAATACATACCTTTTATCTTTCCTTGTCAGCAATAAATGGCAACTGGGATGGAATCTTTCTGAGAGAAGATGGTTTTTATCAAGCAGCCAATCAGTGCGTAGTGTGTTGAATAATTAAACGGACACCGATTGACCCTTTAAAGAACAGGGATCCCCTTGCCTGCAATGCTCAGTTTATTGAATAGTGCAATACGATCTCATCGTAAACATTCCCAAACATCATGAACCGAACCACAGGTATGATTGTGCAAATCCGTAAACTATACTGGCACCAACAGTTTCTCGCGTAAACTGTGCAAACTGACATTGTAACCGAACTCGGATGCAAATTAACTGCTCTTATTCAGCCAGAGAGCTTCAAAGATCCTGATTTGGACCGGGCAGACCTCTCAAGCAAGTCTTTTTCAGCTTGAAATAAAAGAGAAATTTCTACTTTATACGCCTTGAAATAACTTTTTGAACCACTTTAAAAATTGATAATTTTCTTTTTTCGAGCATTTCTGTGTATCAAGGATTCTTTCTTTCCAATTATAATTCCAACTGTTATTATTATTCATACGAAAACGTTAGGCTTGAATTTAAAAAGATGGCGAGATATTGAATCCTAATTGTCCACTAAGTGACTGAGAATGCTTCAAAGTATAGATTCGTTTTGGCAATTTCATTACCTATGGATATTTGAAACATTGCACTGAACGTTTCTTGAATCTAACTAGTCAAAACTCTTTGGGAAGAACATTTTCCTGACATGTAGAAGCTACCCTTCTCTCAGAAAGTTCTGTCTTTTTTCCTTTTTTCGGTTTCAACAGGTTGGTTACCTCGCTTTCAACAATTTTTAATTTGATTGTCACTCTTAGATCCTTGTGAAATCTAAAAAACCTTGTTTACCTTGACTAGCACATCAGAATAATGCGCTGTACATTGAAAACTACTGTTTCAAAAATGCTTGATGTTGATAGCCGTTTTTCTCATGTTTTAGATCCCTCTTGATAAAACAAAATGTTTCCATAAGCTCTACTTCTCGCAGATATTATAAATTTTTGCGAAATGTATATAAAAAACTGACTGCTGTCCAATATCCTACACGTCCAAAGTCAAAAATTTTGTAGTGGGACTCCTTCTATGGATGCACCATACATGACCTCTAACCCAGTTTATACAAGAAAAGGGGCCTAATCTGTTAAACAGCAGAGAAAGCGTCCCCTTTTGCCTAAAATTCTTGGTCATATAGTAATGTGGCATTAAAAGAAATTTATGTCTCATTACAATCACGCGTTTGTTTAGAGTAGAGGATGATTTGAATCATTTTTCATGCTATTTTTGCTAGAAAATTTATGAAAAGTTTAAGTTTGTCTAGAAAGAGCATTAAAAAATGAGAGAGCTTTAGATTCACCTTCAGAGGAAATCTCACAGCCCTTTATTGTTCTTCTAAATCTGAGAAATACGCATTGTGTACCCCAGTTAGAAATTCAAGAAGTTCAAGTTGATATTCTAAATTATGTTTGTTGCTGCGCATAGGGTTCTTTGCTACGTTTACAAATCCCGGTTAAGTTTTGGCTGCGTTAAGTAAAAATTGGATTGTTAAATCATTGAAGTGTTTCGTGCAAAGAGATTTCCAAGTGCCAGGCGTATTTTGTCGTCAGAGAAACTCAAAGCATCGTCACGGGGGTACGTTACTTTTGAACTTAGCTCAAAATACGGTGATGAGTAGCTCATATAATAGATATCTAATGTTTTTCAGACTCTCTGTGCATTTTAACAATGATATTAATTTATTAGAATATACTATATATTTGCAATTTAAAAAAGAAATTGCTTTGAGACTGAAGAGTATTTTCTAATTTTCTAATTGTCGAACCCCTGCTTGATTTCCTCTTTCGTTGCTTAGTTAGTTGATCTTTAGCAAAGGTCACTGCTTCAGCAATGACTTTATGCGTTGAAGATAATTATGTTTAATGACCTGTATAACGGGTGCCTGGTCAAGAGCACATACCGGAACAGTACACAACGCAATTCCGCAATTCTTGCTTAGCTCTTACTTCCAATAGCCCTTTATTGACGGTGAAAAAGGTAAGCTTTCTTATTATTTTGATTCTTCATAATATTACCATTTTATACTTGTTCTTCGTACGTTATGTGAAAACATCGATTTTATAAAAGCTTTTGTGGTGTTTTTCGTGATTATCTTAGGATTAATTTAGGTGATGAGTTATACGCCTTGAATCAAAAGATGATTTTAGGAAGAGGTTTATAGTACAATAGATCAAAGGGGCGAAAATTTTATCTCATTGAACCTTAGATAAGAATATGTAAATAAAACCCTAGTTGATGGTTCTCTTACCTTGTTCTTGTTGCAGTCAGTTTTCGTTTATAAATTGTTTACCCAGACTGTTTACAAACGAAATTGGGTTCATGGTCTGTAAAGTAAATTTGTAATCAAGTGTTTTCCCCTCCCTAAAGTTTGCAACGTACATCCTTTACCTTCTCAAAACTAACACAACAGATTCTTGTAGTTTCTAATTCATCAGTGATTTTCCAAGTGTATCATGCCTTACTGTGGTTTTTTTATACTGGGTTTTTAAATTAAAGCTTTATTTTTTCTACTTATATCCGAAAATGTCTATTTTTTAATTCAAAGCCGTTTTGAAATGTTATTTGGATTTTTCCATTTCATTTTGCATTAGAAATGATCAAATGAATACACTTTTTCTTTAGTCTTAAAGCACCTTTTGGCCAACTGTATTCTGCCAATTCCTTGTTCTTGAGAATCTTGCCTTTAAAATGTTTTTAAAATTTTTTATTGTATAGTAAAAGCTACTTTAGCTGTGAGAATCGTGCCGTGAAAAATTCCTTTCTTTCTACCACTACATACAGATCATGTGACATCATTGCTTGTTAAACAATTCAAACACCCGTCACGCAACTTGAAAATCTAAAATATATTTTAAATCTTAAATATTTTTGATAACTTTTTAGGAAGGGACCCAAAGGTTAGCCGGTAAAAGTTTTATAAGAAGAAATTTTAATCAGGCACTTTGCTTATGAAATCTTCTCCGTTTCCTTCCTCAGCATTTGTTATCTTTTTGCAGTATCATATTTTATTTCCTTGCGCTTCTGTTACTAAATAGCGAGAATTTTGCCAAAAATGACACTCATTAAGCAAACAACTCTTCAATAGCATCCCATTTCTGTAATGGGAACAAGATGACTTTCTTCTGCATTGAGCGTACTTCTACTTGCATTGGAATAATTCTAGAGTAATTATGTTTCAGGGACAAAGATGAAATTCAGAACGTGTCTGATTGTCGCACTGGCCTTAGGCCTTATCCTCGCCCTGGCTGTAGATTCTAAATCTTTCAAAGGTATGTATACTGCATTTTTTAACTTTTTTGCTCATCAGATGAAGATCGTTACATAATCTTGAGAGATGTGAAATGAAAGTTATCAATCTGTTTGTTCCAGAAAATTAGGATGTCCTTTTTGATCATTCGGTCATTTTCCATTGATTAAACTTGGTAAATGATGTGATTAAAACCAGATTCTACAAAAGGTATATAATTTCGGTCTTGTCACTACACAGTATAAATGAAAGGTGGTGCTTTTTATTAGTGACATTTTCTAACAGAATATGTTTTGATCTCATCCGAGAACAAGATCCTTAATCATCACGGTAATTTTTTTATGTCTTAGGGAAAAAGAAAGCACAGAAGAAAAAGGTCCACAAGAAGCAAGACGCTCCAACAAATGCCGGAGGTAAGTCTTTAATAACAGATCGATAATTATAAAGCTTGAAATTGGTTTTGGTCAACTCTTGAACATTATAGAATCAGTAAAATTTTGAATGGCTTATGAATTTATTACTAGAAGCAGCTTGTTAGGATTATGCAATTGCTTTATCAGAATTCTGGAACAGGGAATATTTCCATGCGTGAATGGAAGTAAAAGTTTCTATATTCTTTTTTGTCGTTTTTCGTTTATTGAGACAGTTGAATTTATTATTGAGACTGTTTCAATTACTTATTGTCGTTATCGTGTTTCGACATTTTACCTCAGTAACACATTTTTCAGGAGCTGGCGGCGATGCTGGAGGTGCAGCAGGAGGTGCAGCAGGAGGGGACGCAGGAGCAGCAGCTGGCGGTGATAAGCCTACGCCAGCACCTACAAAGCCAGCCGCCGGTGGAGCAGCCAAACCACCTGCTGGTGGAGCAGCTAAGCCACCAGCTGGAGGAGCACCCCCTCCCGCTGGAGGAGCACCCCCTCCCGCCGGTGGAGCACCTCCTCCCGCCGGAGGACAGCCACCAATGCCCGGACAGCCACCTATGCCTGGACAACCACCTATGCCCGGACAACCACCAATGCCCGGACAACCACCAATGCCTGGTCAACCTCCAGTTAACCCACAACCTGGAGCTGAAGATGGATCTGGCTCAGGTAAGAAACTTAACTTTCCCAGTTTCGTCCTCTATATCCTTCTGTCTTCTTTACGCTTGTCTTTTATTACCCCTTGCAAATTGAGCCTCCATTCGCCGCTATACTTTTTTGACTGCTTGAGCGGCATTTGCTAATATACAGCAGGCTGTATTTTCTTCCTTGGTGATGAAATCATTCCCCCGCAGCCCATCTAGTGCAATCGAGTGCAAGGCTGTCATTTTGAATTTTAAAAACGATTCGTTATCACCTCGGTGGTTTGTTGGACACTAGACTCAAGCCATTTCTGCTTTCATAGGAGATGACTCAAACATGCCTCCCGGTGTACTTAAACCATTGCCAAGACTGTGTCCTCCACCTTGCCCTCTTGCTTGTGCTCCCGCTTGTGATGACGCATGTTGTCTTGGTTTGCTGCCACCACCTATGCCAGCAATGCCACAAATGCCAGCCGGCTGTAGCCCCACTTGTGCACCTGCTTTCACACCATCTTGTTGTGCCGCTGCCCCTCCCTTAATGCCACCACCCATGATCCCTTGCCCGAGCCCTGGAATCTGTGGTCCCCCTCCAATGATGATGCCACCCCCACCCCCTCCTCCTATGCCTGTCTCTTGTGCTCCCCCACAAGTCTGTGCTCCACCACCACCTCCTCTACCACCACCGCCACCACCCATGTCCTGCGCTCCACCCGCAATCTGCCCACCCTCTGCTCCAATGCCACCTCCGATGGTTGGTGGATGTAACTTAGGCTGCAAGAGGGTGTGCAAAAAGAACTGCCCAAAAAGATGTTGTAAAAGATCTAAGGATCATAAGAAGTCTAAGAAACATCACCAATAAGATTTTAAGCAATAATTTGTAAATAATATCAATGTTGTGATTGTAATTAATTGTGTCAGTTGTAATAACTACCTCATTAATGATCTATTGGACAAAACTTCCCTGACATAAAGTTCTACTACCAGTCTTTCTTAACTGAGGATAGTGTTGGGGGAAACTGACAACTGACCTCAGATTTGAACACCCAGGTGGCTGAAGGGAGTAGGGCAGGCGTCAAAGGTGCTAGGTGGGACAAAGTCGAGCATTATCTATATTTTTGCTAGCCTCTCTTTTCTCAATGGAAGTTGTGGAAACGCAAGCTGATTTCTTAAAATCTTTTTTGACAGGTTTAGTCCCACCAATCTCAGATGGCTCACAGCTCCCAGCTAGCCCACCCATGCAAGGAGCACAGATCAACTGTGCGCCACCAATGCAATGCGCTCCACCTATGCCTCCACCAATGCCCATGCCAATGCCTGCACCTATGCAATGTCCTGCTCCCTGTATGCCGCCACCACCATGCGCTGCCCCACCTTGCGCCCCTCCCCCACCACCACCACCTCCTCCACCACCCCCACCATGCGCTGTACCATGCCCAGCTATGCCACCACCACCACCACCACCACCAGTCTGCCCAGCACCATGCATGCCACCACCACCTCCACCACCACTTCCATGTCCAGCTTCATGTATGCCACCTCCTCCACCTCCTCTCCCACTTCCTGCCCCATGTGGTCCAGCCTGCTTGAAGAAGAAGAGCTTGAAGTTACGTTTGAAAAAGAAAAGCAAGAAATCAAAGAAGCACCATTAAAATGACTGTTTTTGAATTTGAACACAAATCGAGTTAATGAATCAACCTTTGAAAGATATTTGCATGTGAAACCATGCAGCTTGTTACATTGCCATTACTAGGCCTTCGCATTGTTAAAATGAATTATTTTAGGTAATAAGTGTGTGGATTAGCACAGTTTCGTTGCAAATGAATTTGTATTTCTTGGAATCTCGCGAATTCTTGTCTTTTGTCTCACATTGGCGTCATTTCGTGGGTAGAACAAATATTTATAGAAATTTTGTACATACAATTTTCAAATGCTTTTCCAGTTCCTTGCTGTTCTTGCCGGGTACTAAAAAACATTTTGCGAACTCATTTTTGGCAGCTGCCAACACTCTGTTCATTTTTGTATGTTAACGTCACCATTAACGAAGGGAGCAGAAGACTCTTCACAGCCAAATAAGCATTTTTCACCAAAATTTTATTGAACTTGGTTATAAACAAATTTTCATCAACACGAAAAAATTGGCCCAGAGAGGCTTCCGTTCCTTTCACTATATTGCATTTCAAAAGACCAAAAAATGAAGATGTCTTCTGCTCTCTTCAATAGGTGCTGGTGCCTTCGGTGTATCGCCCATTGTTCTGGGTGGCCACCCACATCCTGGCCCCCCTCCTGAAATTAACCTAATGCCGGTTGAGCCTCGTTACTGTGACGCTCCGTGCCCTCAAGAATGTGCTCCTGCCTGCATGGAGTGGTGCTGCTTTCCTGCTATTCAAGCACCACCGCCTGCACCAGCCATGCCTGTCCCTGCACCACTTCCTTATGGTCCTAATTCTTTCAATGGTATTGCTGGTCTCCCACAACCTATGCCACCTGCAGTAAGCATGCCAAATCAAATGGGACAACCGATGCCAGCAATGCCCATGATGCCAGGAATGAAGAAGCATAAAGTAGCAAGGGAACAAAGCAAAACAAAGAAAAACAAGAAAGATGCCAACCATAAGCAGAATGAGAAAAAAGAAACGAAACTAGAAAGCGATGCCAAAAAATGGGATTAATCCCAGCGTTTGTCTGACTAAAAATGTAAAATATGTGAAAATCCTCCTTCTATAAGGCGTACAACATTAGCTAATGGTAAACCGCCTGTCTACAGATTTCATAAACTTTTTTGTCTCAAAATTTTTAGATTGAAAATGAAAATGCACCCTGTAGGGGTAACGACGAGATATGCTGAACTAAGTTCATGTCATTTTAGTGAACTTTGCAAAGAAATTTTAAGGTTAAAATGGGGCTGGTTTACCATTGCTGTTGAAAAAACTCTTATTGCGATAAGCAATATGTAGAAATGAGGTAACTTTTTTATTTGAAAAGCATTTGCCTTTTTATAAACAGTATATATTTGCCGAAAGTTTATAAATGAGTAGACTAGAAGGTTCTTTTATTATGAAACGATTTTTTCTTGCTAAGAATAATATTCAAAAATCAAAACTTTGGGTACGCTAATGATCTCGTTGATTAATCTAATGATATTGCAGACGGCAATATAACTTAAAAATTCAGGTGATGAATTAGTCCAGTTCTCTACAAAATCCAATTTTATCCCTAACGTGTTGTTCTTGCCATCTACATTTGTGACCAATGGTTCTTGATCAATCGAAAATGAAAGCAAAAAATTTACCAGTTTTTATTGTTGAAACTGTTGACTTTCGAAAACAGCTTGTGAATAAAATTCGCTGGAAAAGAAAGGAAAAACGTTTGGACAATGGTCAAGCCGTTTGAAAGTGCCTTGCAGAGTCGAGCCTCTAGGGTAAAAAGCAAGACTATAGCCATGCCAAATGGTCAAATTTGAAGACAAATTTTTTTGCTTAAAAAAAGTTCTTTTAAAACAACAAAACATGGCAAATTGCAAAGAATCCCATTTTAAATCAGGTTTATATAAGAAGCAATTGGAGAAAGGAGGGAACCCTCTTTTGAGCAAAAAGGCAAGCCTAAAGCCATAAGAAAGTGTTCAGAATTCATCACAAAATGTTCTTCTCTTAATAGACAGTTTAGCGTCTTAAAGCATTAGAACAAGGGTTTAAAGAAAGTTTTAGCCTTTATGAAGGCAGTTGATGATATAAAATTAGTTGGTCAATGGAGGAACAATTTTTGGAGCAAAGTCAAGCTTATGGCCTTGCAAAATGATCCGATTTTGCAGCATTTTTTTTGCTTAAAAACAAGTCCTTTCGAACTAGAAAACATAGAAAATAGCAAAACAACTATGAAAGAAATTTCGAACAGGCCCGTAGACGGCAAAAATGGAAACAAAAGTGACAAATTTTTAAGCAAAAAGGCAAGGCTATAACCTTAGGAAAATGACAAATTTTCAGCACAAAATTTTTCTTTCTAAGCAACCTGTTTCGAGTCTCAAAGCATTAGAACAGTTTAACGGTTTAAGCCTTATGAAAAAAGTTGATGCTCTAAAACTAATTGGTCAAGAGAGGCCCAATTTTTGGTCAAAGTCAAGCGTATAGCCTCGAAAATTGTTCAAATTTCGAGGCAAATATTTTTTCTTAGAGACAAGTCGTTTTGAGCTAGAAACATGGGAAATAAAATAAAACCTCTATGTGGGCATATTCGGACAGGTTTGTGTATACAGAAATACTGGAGCAGAAGGGAATTATTTTTGAGCAAAAAGGCAAGCCTATAGCCTTGCAAAAGTGATGAGTTTTCAACAAAGAGCTTTCTTGTCCAAAGAATCTGTTATGCGTCTCTAGGCATTACGAAAAACGATTTTAACACGTTTTTAGCCATTTGAAAACTTTATTTTAATATAAGTAGCTGGTACAGATTTGATAACCGTTTGGATGAAAGTCAAGCAAATAGCCTTCGCACAATGATCAAATTTTAAGGCAAAACTTTTTCTTTTAATACAAACATTTCAGAACTAAAAACATGGGAAATATCATAAAATCTCATTTTGAAAATGTGCTTCTCCTATGTTATGTTATTTGTCTGAAAGCACTGGAAGAAGATTCTAAGAAGGTGTTAAATTGGTTTTTGAATAAACGTAGCTGGTGAAGAGAGAAACAATTTTCAAGACTGGACCAATTTTTTCCAAGTTCTTCAAAAACTCAAAAAATGTTCAAACTTTTTCAAATGTTTGTCAAATTATATATATTCACTAGTCACCTTTTTCTCGGATTTTCAGGGGACGAACAAATCGATGCGAAAAATAAGGCTATAGCTTTTCAAAAATTATAAGTTTCTTTATGAATATATTTTTGCTTCCAAATTGTTGAAAAATATCCAAATAGTGTCTAAAAAAATTCAAAAAATTTTGACGGGGTACGTATTTACTACTTAGTTTTTTAAAGCACCTAAAAAGCACTTAGATTTTAGAGGCAATAAAATCAACACAAAAAGTGAGGTCAAAACCTTTCGAAAATGACCATTTTTTGGCAGGATAAGTTTTTGCTCCTACATCGTTACAAGCGCACCTAAATGATGTCTAAAAACATATTGAAATGTTTATAGAGTGTTTTATTATTTCACAAAAAGGTAAGAAAAATAGAACTGCCAAATTTCTGATAGATATAACTTTTTTATGTTGCTCAAAACCCTTAAATTGTTTGTAAGCTTTTATCTATTGGTTTGTCAAAGGGAATTTTTTTTAATTTATCATGCCAGCCTGTCTTTCAGGATTTCATGGTTCCTACAACATAGGTAATGTGATAAATAGTCTTGCATGATTCAATGAAAATTTGATCTCTGAAACAGGTCAAACAATTATCTGGACTTTTTTTGCAGCTGAAATGTTTAAAACGACTAAAATATTCTCAAATACATACTTTGATTTTGTCAAGAGAAACATTTACATTATATCTCATTCTTGGTCGGTTTCTAGCAGATCATAAATTCCAGGCAAAATGTGGCTTTTCCAAAACAAAGAATGTGTGTTTTACCATAGGCTTACCAGTTTCATTTATAAATCTAGACTGCTCAACAAACTAACTTAAAAGAACCTTATTGTTTTGGAAAGCACGAGCAAATGAGAATGTTTCGGTTGATGCAAATAAATCATAAGACTTTAGTAAACTGTAGCAAACAAGTAACCTTTTCTTATTACCTTCATGGTATATCATCATAATTACCAGATAATACAAAAGTTAATATCAAAAACGTAATAAAAAAGTGGAAGTTCCAGAAAGTCACGGGCGGAATAGTGGCATTCACATAAATGCTCTTGAACGATTAAACGTTCACTTCTGGTCTACACATCAATCACCTAGACCGAAATAACATTATCGACTAAAGGTGCTCTTATTCATGGAAAAGCAATTTCCCACTACCCATAATGCTTTACATGTTATTACTGTACAACTATACCATTCTTCTGGTAGCTAGCGTAACAAATTGGACAATAAGCTATACCTTACCACCCAACTAGTTATTTACTATTTACAACATTAACAGTATCTAGAGATCCTGATAATTCAACGCAGTTGCGTCGATTTGAAAGCAATCAGTCACTTTCCTCGTCACTTTCGACAATTTTTCGTGTCGCTTTCTTCTTTTTTGAAGGTCCTTCATCTTTAGATTTGCGCTTTGTGCCAAGTGGTCCTTCTTCGTCGCTGCTCAAGTCGACTTTTGCTTTCATCAGCCTGTCGTCGTCGCTGTCGTCATCGCTATAAATATCTCTTACTTCGCGCGATCTTCCGGCTAAAGAAAAGAGCGCAAGTTAAAAAATGACGGTACTGCAGTTTTAGAATCTCAAGAGAGTTCTATATTCATTCACAGGGTCTTTTTTAAGGTAATTCGACACGATTAGGAAGTTTAGAAAAATGTTTACTTTATCCCATCCTTTGTTGTATTAATTTCCAACATCTCAAAAAGATATTATAAAAATACAGTTTTTAGCTCCAGTTGGTGGATTAAAACAACATCCAAAAAATGTCTTTAAGTAAATCGATGGTTTTCCAGCTCTACGCTGAATTATGATAATACCGTCTTCCCCTCAAATGAGCATATAACAAAGAATAATATCTGGAATTATGAAGTTACGGTTTTGGTTATTCAATTTTGTTGAAGGTTAGACGGACTAAAATTTATAATGGCTTTCGAAGATAAGCTTTATTCGTGGCAGAAGCCTTAAGCTGAACGTGTCGTAACGCGTACAATCGGACTGTCATATTTTACTGGGTTTTTCTTGTTGTATTAAGGGTTGACTTTTTGTACTGAGAGTTGTCTAACGGTAGTGGGAAGTTGTATAATTGCAACCAAAAACACATTACAGTTGTGAATATAAAACCAAAGAATTTAGAAAAACGTCTAGAAACTTTCTTGATTTCCCTCACAAAAATTATCATCCAGGCATGCATTTCTATACTTTTTATCGATTTGATAGTTTTAAATTTTCACACCTGGTAATTTACTTCCATGAATTTAAAGGAAACAATTTCAAAGATGATTACCTTTAATATCTTTTTTGTAACGGCTCTTGATAGCAGCAAGACTTTCTTCGAGCTCTTGTTCGTCATCCTCAAAATTCTCCGACTCTAAATAGTTAGCAGTGAGACCTTTAGAACTGTTCTTTTCACGCATTCGCCTTTGCTGACTTTCTCGCCGCATTTGAGCTCGCATTCGTTCTTCTTCTTTCTGAAGTTTCAAAAAAATATTGCAGATGAAGAGTACCTTTCAAAGCATGGAAAATAGATTTTGAAACGAACGGCAACAAAAATTAAACAAATGAAAAAGTGTGTATAAAAGATCTATTTCAATATTTCATAGCTTTCTTTACCTTGAACATCTCCCGCCTCGCAGCCTCTGGATCTCTTTCTGTTACGGATATCAGCTTTATTTTCTGTGCTTTTGAAACTTTGTCCGCAATGGACATTGTCATCTTCAAATGTGTTTGACTTCTCGTCGAATACGGTCTAAATGTGAGTTTTTCTTTAAAAACAGCTTTTGCTTGCAGCCCAGTTCCCTGGTGAAAAAAACGAAGTGTTGCGTTGACCTAGACCACTGTCAAACACAAATGTTTTAACTTTTCTATGAAGACTTCTAAAAACCTTACTAAGGTGTCTAGGGTCTTCCGTAGGGTGCTTCGTAATGAAAGTTGGTAATGTTTTCTCTCTCTCAAGATTTATAAGCTGCACTGTAGATCACGAGATCTACTCGTTTCCAAAAATTAACTTCAAAAACATCAAAATTGACTTAAACTGCATATAATGCAAAAACCCTACATGTTTGTTATTTTATCAACAATATTTCTAAGAAGATTGAAACCATCAGTTGCAAACTGTCACAAGAGTATTAAAAACAGCCAGCATATCGACACTATATATGATTTCAAAGATATGTTTACTTTGATAAGAAGTTCCATGAACTCAATAATTTATTCTTGTTTGGTGTAACTAACCTGCTGAACAAAAAGGTGGTTCTGTAGTCCTTCGATAGGCATCTTGAAAATGTCGAAAATTTCATTCCCCAAATGCAAAGATAAACTGCCATCTGACCACCTAACAACTCGGGCATTGCTTTCTTTAATATCACTGCCCTCACTATCTTTGGCATTTCGCCACCTGATGGTATTCTCTACCTAAAAGATAAAAACACACAGTGTTGATCGAAGATTACAATAGGTGTGAAACTCATTGTAGAAACTTCAATTTAAACACCAAGCAAACACCTACATTTAAGCAAAGGTTTGTGTTGTATTTCACCAGCAAGCATAGTCAACTCTTTTAGGTAATGTGTTTCTTAGCTTTACCATAGGGATAAGATTTGCAATTTTAAATAACCTTCAATTTCAGACGTGCACGACCTTCTTCGTCCAAGACTTCATCTTCATCTATCTCATCTTCGTAAAATGCAGAATCAAATGGCTTTGTCTCAATGCTCAAAAAATTTGGCATTTTGACAAAAAAGACTTCATCTCCAATGGTTGTATCTACTTTTGGCAACTCAACTTCAATAGCTACGCCTTCTTCTGGTTGTTTTTCTGTTTTTTGTTGCTCTTTCTGAGAATCACTGGCCTCATCTTCATCAATATCTTGTTCCTGTTGTGGAACAGCCTGTGAAAGATAAAAACAATCTATATATGGGCGTAAGTCTTAGATTACAACTTTGACACTATGATCAAAAATTGTTTAATTTGTATTCTTTCAAGTTGGTTTCAATAAAGGGTACTTACAAACAATAAAATATTTCTGTCATTTATAACTCAACAAAGTACACAACTTTCAAACTACCAAAACAACTGAATTGTAAGAAATTAAAATTCATTTTAGAAAAGCTTATAATTGCCTCCAGAGGTTTTTTTATTTGTATAGGAACCAATGGTACATGCAGGATCTAAGGTGGTCAGAACCCCACCCAAAATGTACTGAAATGAGACAAGTCATGTTTCATTGGATTCAAAGGAGTCTTTATCAGGTCTCTATCAGAGAATCTGAAAGTGTTTGAGACTTGTTTCATAACAACATTGAATGCTGATAATGTGTTTGTATGGAGTTAGGGGGTGGACATAATCCTATTTTAGTGTTAAGGGGGCAGTTTCAAATCTTGATTAGTAAAGGTAAGAATTGCAAGCCCGCATATGGAGACACGCCACTATATTAAATGACCCTATAAAATGAACCTGCACTATCCAAGATGTGAAATAGCCCCACAAAGATATGAAAAAGCCCCACTGCCTCTAAAACGGAATTGTGTCTACTTCCTTACTCCATATGCATGTCTTGTGTACAAAATGGAGTTATTGGAATGCAACAACAAAGCTTGCTTGGAACACAGCAATACCAATCAGACTACTTTAGTTACATAAACCTTAGTTACATAAAAGAGCACCCAGGCATAAGATTCTGAAATGAGAGACTTCAAGGGGATTTCCTTTCCACTAGCCTTGCAAATGAAGTAATGCAGAGTAATGAGTATACATTGTTATTGAGTAGTGGTATTACTCCTTACTGTCATCTCTGCTCTGGTATACATTGTGCAGCTAATCTACTTGGATCTTTCCTTATTTTTCTGATTAACCTAATTCACTGTGTAGAAGACACACCTTTTTAAACTATCATTGGCTTTGCTTTTGAGGGTGTGCCTGATAAATGGTAGCATCAAACTTTCCCATCATTTCCTGATGATGTTTTTGGGTATTAAAACCTGCCAATTCTATTTGATTATTTTCAATGTAAGGATAAGAGATTTCGTACAAAGCTTTAGGTTTCTTTAGCAATAATGAGTTTATTTTGTTTTCGCTGAAATATATATGATTTAAAAGTACTGAGAAAAAGGCATGCTTTTAAATACATGGTAAGATACGGTAACAACCATTTCAATAAAATTTAAACATGGAATTAAGGGTGTATCTTATACAAGAATGCATTATCTCATTTATGGCAAAATACATGCAGTGACCTAATTAATGGAAATGGCCACTGTCATATTTTTGACTGTCCTGCAATAATTAAAGGCATGGCTTTAAGTACCTTTACTGGATTAGGTCCCTAAATACCTACCCAAACTGTTGTCTGTATCATAAAATAATAAAAGGTGGTAAGTGGTAAAGAACAAGGAGCAAACCTGAATTGCAGATTCTTCTTCATCTGATGAAACATCTAATTCCTCTCCAAAAATGTCTGCTTGAGTTGGTGCTGAAGTCCTCTTTTCTGATTCAGCAGAGTCTTTATTCTGAGAAATGACAAGGAAATTCAAATTCATTTTGCACTGCAACTGCTTACACAATTTCAGCAGAAATATTTCTAGCACTAACACTAAAAATGTGCTGAAGATGGGTGCGGGAGACAAAGTTTCAAAGACTAATGTAACAAAAAGTTTATCCAGAAGATGTCATTTTGTTTTATACTAAGGAGAAGATCGCAAGTTTTTCAGCTGTTCAAAAGTTTGGTCCGTAAAAGTGCCCTGTTTATTTGAAACTACCATGGGTTGGTAACACTTCCTTGTGATTTGAGAGTCGGATTATGCAAGCCATCACAAGATGTTTATTTACTGTCAATCCCCATATTGTTTACAGCAATAGGAGAGCCTTTCCACCCATTCAAAAGGATTGCGTTCCTACCAACCAAAAAAGTTCTGTTGGTTAGGAATCTACGTGTGAGTGTGATTCTGGCTACGTAGAACATGCAACTCAAAGATTGGGGGATGGGATAAAACAACATGTTATTCCAACATAAGAAACAGAATTGCTTCTCAAAGAGAACAGCCTCCTCCATTTTGTAAGTCTAGAAACACTGTTAAAACAAGTAATTCTGTCATCGGTCAACATCTTTTAGATAACCCAGATTGTGCTAAACTCTGTAATGATGACATTTTTCGGGTAATTGGCAGAGCACAGTCCTCTTTCCATCTAGCAGTTTTGGAATCAATCTACTTACAAATGAAAAAACCCCCATTGTGTAGACAAAGGATTTCATTTTCTCTCTTGAACTCCAGTGGTAATTCTTTCTAGGCATGCAATACTGATTGGTCAACTATCTGGTCTTATGCCTGGGGAGTGTCAGACGAAAAAGCTTTTAGCCAATATGCTGTAATATGTTTGCTTTTTCAAAGCCATTATAAAGTTTATTATTGGGTTTTTTGAACATATAATTCTTTGTTCTTTGAATAATTTATTGAATTTTATAAATACTTGAAGTGCATCTAAGTTCAAAGTTTTTCACATTTTTCAATTAAAACCAATTTGAAACTTTTCCTGATTTTGATTAATCAAATCGTTTCTGAAGATGGAATTTGAATTAGTTGTTAGTAAAACTTCGAATGTGCCAAAAGCCAGACCAAAAGCAAACAAAGCATGCCCAAAGTTGCTCAAATAATCATGAAAATGCAATGGGTCAAATGTGTGAGCACAATAACAGCACATCTGGCTAGCCATGGAGCCAAAATGTGTATGGATCAACCAAAATCAAAGTTCATGGCAAGGAATTCTTTGATCTAACACAACCATGAAATGCTTGTGTTCATTTCAATATGTTTGAACCAGAGTGAAAAGCTCCCAACATAGCTTACTGTCTGTTACAATGATTTTGCCTAGCCATATAGCCAGCCACCAATGAAATCTTAACAATAGAAAATTGGATCTTTCCTAGAAATGATACGAAAATTTATAATTTTTCCAAAAAGAAAAAATTCAATCTCCATGTCCTCAAATACAACCATATAGCCTATACTTTTTTAAAATATCGACTGTTCTTGATATTTTTTTAAGTTTTAAATTGAGGCTAACATATTGCAATATTTGATGGAATGAATTGGTGGCAAATCAACAAACGATCAAATCTAATGTCCTTACCATGTTTTTCATATCCGAGTCAACATCATCATCTTCGTCTGATTGAGCAGAATCTCTTCGTTTTTCCAATGTTGTTTCTTCGGCATCACTTTCTTCTGCTTCTTCTTGTAGCAAACCAGTTTCTTCGTTTCCATCTTCCTCGGCTTCATCTGCGTCTGAATTTCTTACTTCATTCGTATCGTTAGGCCTCTCTTCTGTTTGGTCCTCGTCCGAGCTTTCCCCCTCGGACTGATATGCTGGAGTACCTTGTGGTGACCCATCATCTTCCTTGTCCTCTCCAGCATCAAAATCTTCGTCACTCTCTGAATCAGATCCAAACAAGTCTGCTGTGGACATCTTACAGTCAACCAGGGCCTAACAACTGCAAGACAAGACAAAGCAAAAGGTGCACGATTGAAGCAAGAGAACTACATCACATCGAGACAGTTTCCTTCGCAGCGTATTAAACACTGAAAAAGTTTCAAGTCTGCGATTTTGAAACTTTCGTAGAGAATACCTTGTCGCATGCAGCGCAAGATTGAAATCATCTTGTTAACAGTTTTTCTTAGCAATGACTGAGGAAGGCGCCTTTAATTTCGATGAATACTCTAAGGAGTGCACTTAGAGTTATTTATATACTGGAGGGGGGGGGTGTGCAGAAGCGGATTGGCCCACTGGGACACCGGGAAATTTCCCGGTGCGCCCTTTGCCCCCAAGTTATTTTTTCAAAAACTTGAAAACTTTCAAAAGGCAACTAACCTTCTGATAAAACTAAAACTGATTACAATCATAAATTGACCTCCTGTCTAAAGTACGTTTCCATGGAAAGTTTAGAAAATTCATTGAAGACGAAATTTTCATCAGCAGTTTCTGCAAAATTTTTGAAAACCTTGAGAAAAACATATTTTGTTTTGAAAATGGCTTTGAAAAAAGCAAACAATTTTAAACAAATTAAATTTTTTTCTTCTGAAACTTTTCAGAGCATATAACGTTAGAATAAAGGACCAAAAGAACAAGATGGAGAATTCGATCCACAAATGGGTATTTATTCTCCATCTTGTTCTTTCCGACCCTTATTCTTACGTTTTAAACTCTAAAAAGGTTCAGACGAAAAAGCTTTCAATATGTTAAAAATTTTGCTTTTTTTAAAATCATTTTCAAATTTAGTAGCGCCAAAAAATTGTTCATATTTTTTTATTGGCAGCAGTTAATGTGGTAGCAGCCAGAAAGACTACTCTCACTTCCAACCCGCGTTAGCTTTTAATTTTTTCAAGCAAGTGCGCAATACTTGAATTAATTCGATATCTGTTGAGGGGGTAGTAATGGTTTTCAATAGCTAACTAGCACACTGTTTGTGAAACCCATGACTTTTGACTAACCATGTAAGTTTTTTGACTTATGACTAATGCGAATTATTTCGACTATCTGATATCGAATAACTGAGAGGGCTCGCACATTAGATAAATTCATTGAGCAATACCCTGTGCTTTTTCCAATCAAAATAGTTATAACTGGATAAAATTATCGATGTGTTGGCCATTGGGTATGGTAACGTTCACATATTACGTAATCAAAGACAGGTTGGGGGGGGGGGAACTTTACAAACGGTAACAGTCATTATGGCTATTTCTTAAAGCTTGTAAAAATAATTATTTAGAGAGAAGGGGATTTTTCAAATAATGCCGTTTTTGATGACGTAATATGTGCATATTCCTTGTGCTGTCTCTCTTGAATAATGGTCCTTTTTCTTTGGGCCATTAACTATCCCTTACAGAGGCGGATCCAGAGTGAGTTCCTTGGTGCACAGAACTCAGTCAGTTTTCTAACATACCGCTAAAAATAGTGTTGCCTGAAACAAGTAATATTTAAATTAAAAAATTGAAACCTAAAAATTCTAAGTTTTATCACAGTCTCTTCAAAATCTTAAAATTGCCAGTTTCTTCTCTGTCGTGATTTGGAAACGATTTTCCAGACGCTGTGGTGGACAACAGCAATTAATCCTAGAACTCGGAAATAAACGTTTGTGCCTCGGAAGTGAATTAATTGAAACAATATACTTTTTGTTTGGAGCACGGATGGAACTCAGTCAAAACAGCATCTGGAACTCGGAAATGATACCATATTTGTAAGAGAGCTGTACAATGTCCCGTAGTTGATTGGCTACCTATTGTTTCTGTTCTTTTGTGGAACTGCAAAACATTGAATTCGAAATGGCGACTGCATATGTCTTATACTCATGACCATCGCAGCATTCTAGCAGATTATTAAACATTTGAGGTAAAACCAGGAGATGTCGTTAATTTTCCAGGAGTGTTAACTACCTTTGCTTTAAATTGCAGTCTTTGATGGCACGGAAAACCTATGCTCAGACGAAACACCATATTTTGATGAGTAAGCTGTTGTCTACGTAGGCAAAACAACAAATTGCGAGCAAAACAAAAGAGAAAAACTTTGCTGTGGCATCCAAAACAAACAAAGAGTATTGAGAAAGGGAGAGGGTTTAAAAAGAATCTAGATTTAGTGAGTATATAGTGGCTACCCCCCTCAATGGTACCAAAATGCATAAATAAGAATAATAATGTTGTCTTATGCACAATGATCAATGCATTATCTGAAAGTCCCTAGGATTGGCCTGGAACTCAGTCAGGTTTTTTGCTGGATCCCCCCCCCCCCCCTCAATGGTACCAAAATGCATAAATAAGAATAATAATGTTGTCTTATGCACAATGATCAATGCATTATCTGAAAGTCCCTAGGATTGGCCTGGAACTCAGTCAGGTTTTTTGCTGGATCCGCCCCTGCCTTAATAGTGAAAACTGTTCTAGGTATGATAAAGAACAATACTTTCTCAACGTCCTGTTGTTGGCAAGCTATTTCACTTTGCAATTCAACTAAAATCTCCTATGCATCATGATTTTTGTACGTTACAACCAGAAGTTTTGTACCCTAAAAAAACTTAAACTAATTGAAGCCAAAGTCTTGACAACTTTTAAAAATTCTATACAGAATTTATTGAGGACTGATGTCCTCGTGTAAGAACGTTCTGTAAACTTAATGGAAAGTTAAACCGGCTGTTTTGATGAAACTGGTTTCAAATTTTATTATTCCAATCTTTCTCCAAAGTTTTGTCCCGGAATAGAGACTGTGTCTTTTTTAAGAAATTCTTTATCCATTCGCACAGTTTCTCATACCGAAGGAGCCATCAATCTGCAAAATCATCAATTTGCGCAAACCGGACGGCAGAAAGATCTCTTAAAATCCATTTTTCCAAGATATGTTATCAGATATTTTTCGGACAAGTCTACAGTTTTAAGCACATGTTCAATACCTGATCATAAATCATATCTTTTGTAAATGATTTGCAACTGTAGCGTGGAAGCAGGAGCAACACAGTCATTAGGCTAGAAGGTGTTGAGGTATTACTTTTTTTCAAAGATATACAGTGGCGAAGCTGGCCTTAAGTCAATGGTCATGCTTTGTATGGGACAGAAAGGAGATGGGGGTCTGGGGGCTACGCCCCCAGGAAAATTACACACAACCACACCCTATAGATGCTCGGAAAAGGGGGGTAACGCCCTTTTTAGTATATTGAATCAAATAGCTCTTGTTTAGATCGCAATCAATGATGTCAAGGACTTCAACATCTAAATGTTCTTTCCACCCCATTCTCCAATGTTGTGTTTTGGAAATATCTTTGGGACAATGTTTTTGAAAAATTGTGCATTTGAAAACCCCCAACAAACACTACTGATCATACTGGAAAAACATTGCAGATGAGAGAGTATTATATCTACAAATATTTTTCAAAATCTAAACTTTTGATAAATCAGCTTATTCAAATCAGCAAGGGGTTAAAAAATATCCACTCTCTTACTATTAATTATTGACACTTTTGATGATGTTTCTGAATTAAGATGAATTAGGCAGGATAAGCCCTCAGTGATAGGTAGGCCCTCCCTTGTTTATGATACAGGGAATTGTGGGATGCTTGTTTCTTGGTTCAGAATTTTATACTTAGCTTCAATTTTATAAGCTTAATTTTTACATATCTAAAACAAATGTATCAAGGATAGTACTGTTTAGCATATACAAAAAGGTTTGACCCCTGTATTTAAAGTGTAACATGCCATAAACATCAACAAGTTAAGTCCAAGCCCAACATCAAGGGCTTTCCTATAACTTTGGTCTTCCATGTTTAAGAAACCCCATAGTTTTCCTGGCAACTGAAAGCCCTGGGGAAATCAAACTGCACTGAGAAGGTTGGCTGTGTGGAAGCTACATATATAGTGTGATTAAAAATCATTTCTAAATTCTATCCATCAGCAAATTGTAGTCAAATATCCAATAACAGGCAAGTTCCAAAGTGCAATTTCATTATCAGCATCAAGTCATGGTGTAATATTGAATAACAGGCAAATTACAGGGTACAATACATTTGCATTGCATAGGGTACAATGCAAATTACATACATTATTAACAAAAGTTATAGAGTAATATTGAATAAACAAGCAAATTTAAGGGTACAATTTCATTTATCAACAAAAGTTATGGTGTAATATTGAATAAACAAGGAAATATAAGAGTACAATTTCATTTATCAAAAAAAGAGCTTGTGTAATATTGAATGCAGGCAAATTTCAGGGTACCATTTCATTTATCAGCAACAAGTTATGGTGTAATATTAAATAACAGGCAAATTGCAAGATGCAATTTGAATTTTATTTTATACACAACAAGTTATGTTGTAATATTGACTAAACAAGAAATTTTTAAGAGAACAATTCTTTCTATCAACAACAGGTCTTGGTGAAATATTGAATAAACAGGCAAGTTTTCAAAGTACAATTTCGTCCCTCTCAGCAACAAGTAAGGTTGTAATATTGAATAAACCAGATAGAATGGACAGGCAATTTCCATCCATCAGCAACAGGTTATTGTGTGATTTTGACAAAACAGGAAATTTTCAAGAGTACAATTCCATGAGCAAGAGGTTTTGGTGAAATACTGAATACACAGGCAAGTTTCAGGGTACAAGTTCGTCCATCAGCAACAAGTTATGGTATGATCAGCAACGTAATGGTAGGATTCTCCATCGATAAGGGTCGGTCTTTGGTTTTCAATCACAATTTTGTCTTACAATTACCTTGCTCAGCCACACGCAAGTGATCCCTGTAGCAGTTAATAAACAATATATCTCTCGGAAATAGCTTCGATTGAATTTCCCCACTCCCTTGCAGCAATGTTTCTCAGCTCACAAGTTGACCTTAGATACTTCATGTATGGGAGATTTAGGTCGGTCATGCTGAAAAAAATGAGCATGACTTGGGGTCCAAAACGGGCCAAGATAGCATGCGCAAGATAGAATTCAGCCAATCAAATCAGTGCTAGGTTTATGATTATAACGACGAGGTCATGCTATTCCAAATGAGCATGACTTACCGCAGGGATACCAACTGAAAAGTCATTGAAACTCAGCCGACTCACAGGAGCGGTTGGGCTCTCTGAGGAAAGAAACCCTATGGCAGGTCATGCTCTCCAGAATGAGCATGACTAACCACAAGGGACCAAGGTAGGGAAGGGCAGTGAAATAATAAGAATCACTTGGACGAATGGAGTTTTGAGGGTACTTTTTCAATAAAGAAAAGTTTTAATCATTATAATAAATGTCTTAAGCTCTGAAAATTTTTAGTCATGCTCAGCATGACCAGCATGACCGCTAGCTTCGCCACTGAAGATATACTGCAAAACTTTTGAAAATTGACAAGAATGAAGTCATGTATTTCGTCAAATTTTTAAAGATTTCGAGATCGAGTTTAATCGAAAAGAATCTCATCTCCTAGGCCAGAGAGGTTGCTTTCTTTGTAAAATCTTGGAAAAAAGTGTCTCACTAGCTGAAAAATAGCTTTGGGCTTTGGTCCAACTTTCAAAATCTATCATTTGATATCATCATTCAGCAGCGGTTTTCAGGACTGCGGGGCCCGGGGCCAAAGACATCTGCGGGGCCCTTGTTCTTGACAATTTGTTTCTTTTTTCTTAGATGTAAGGCCCCTTTTGGCTACCATAATCGTGGGGCCTGTGGCCATGGCCCGCCTCGACCCAACTTAAAACCGCCGCTGTCATCATTTGATACCTAAAATTGAGGGCAATACATCATTTGATACCTACAAATTTTATTAGCCGTGTAGACGTTTCAAATACAGTCAATTTGACTGAGAATCTTCTTCATGCCAATGCCAATTGTGAATAAAAAACTTTGATTTTCGAAATGGGGCATGTTCCGACATTCTAAATAGGGTGAATAAAAAAAATTTCCGAGGCCAGCCCCTGACCCCCCCGTTTCGTTTCCTATGACAGTGTTTGCAGCAAACTGATTCTCAGGTAAAGCAAAGTTTTTCCGCCCAAAGTTATGCAATTTTAGCACCTATTGGCGCCCTTTTGGCTACTTTTCCCGGTTGGTCAAACGGTTGCCAGTCCGCCACTGGGGGTGTGGCTTAACATAGTATTTTTCTACAAATTCCAACCAAGTAGCAACAAGATTAAAAATTTTTGTCTCTGAAAGCAGGAGGCAAACAAGAATTAATTTTATAAAAAACTGAATTGCAATCAAACTGTTGACTAAGGCTCTCCATTAAAGTTAAATCGTCGAAACCTGGAATCATAAAAATGACCTGTATTCCAGACCCCTAACATAAAAAGAGCATACAGTTGAGTTGAATACTATTGATTCGGACCTTGAAGGGGTGTAAAAAATCGTCTGATGTCACGAATTTCCAACTTACCCTTGGTACAACTTTTGACCTGAATAGTAGTAGCTGGCAGAAATTCATTTTTCAGGTGTAGGAGGAGGTGCAAAACTCCTTCAATTTCTGCCACAAGAAAGTAAGAAAATCCAGATAAACGTGGCTATTGTTGATAGAAATGATGTAATGTGGGGTGTGTTTGATTTTCATCCAGCCCACAAATTGCACCCTCTTTCAAAAACAAGAAGCAAACACTTTGCTCTATAGGTAATCTTTAGGTAATTTTATCAGATACAGGGAGGTTCAATCGCACTTATAAAAATTCACCTAGAAGTATCAAAAGCAAATTTAAGAGACCCAAAATTATCAGCTAAAATGTTTTGATGATACCAAAATACACAAAAAAAGGAAATCTTTTTTCTAGCGCATAAGAGACCACTACACCCCTTTTTAAGAGCCAGTAAAATTATGTTCAGGCTAAATGTTTCTCATTTTTTCAAAAATCTGAGGCTGCATTGTTCTTAATTTGTTCTTAAATTAATAGGGTGTAAGCAGTGCGATTGCTTGCTTTTTTGCTCTAGGGAGGTGTTCCGATCATTTGCCAACAACCTTCATTTGCCGAAAAGTTTGCATATTCACCGATAAAGCATTCACACATGACTAAAAATCCCCATTGCTGAGATAAAGTGTTGTTCAAAATAGCAGTTTACAGAAGCTAATCCCAAGCTTGTTCTTTAATTTGTGTCTAACCTTGGGCCAATTTGGAGGCTCGTGTTCTTAAAAAAGGGTGTAGTCATAGTAATTTAGACTGTTTCCTGTAATAGTTTAAACACATCTTTTATTCCTGCTTTTGATATTGTTATGTGATAGCTGAATCCATAAGTATCGAAAAATTAAATAATTTAATCAGGTATTCCAAAGTATCAGATGACAAGGAAAATTCTTACCCAAAGTTGTCGGATGAACATTCCTCCTCTATGCAAAACGTCCAAGTGACCCCCTGGGGTCTGTTCTCCAAATACTCTAAGGTCCTTAATAGAAGGGGGGATGCTTATTAATTTTTTGATTTTTTTCTGACCCCCCCCCCCGGAGCTTATTTGGACTTCCCCCGTTTATTAATTTCTATATGCAGTCATCCATATCCCTTGTTTCATTTGTCCTTTGATCTTGCAGGTGTGAAATTTCTGTAAAGTTTCTCTTAAATGAAGAGGTTGCATTGTACAAAAGTTTTAACATAGAAAAGTAGTGACATCCAAACAAAATTTACATAGGCCTGACTGATGTACACAATGATAATTAGCCTGCTCATTTTAGTAATACAACTATACATTATTGCATGGTGATAATTGTCATTTTGCTATCGATTGTATTCAGAAGAAAATCTCCTTTGACCCCAAAAAAGAATCATCTCACAACCTTCTAAAATGTGCCATTATTTGGCGAATTTGTATATCAGTTCTACACATAGAAATAAATTGTTGCTTAAACTATACCGTTAGTCCTCGAATTGGCCCTCCCTCAAATAAGCCCCCACCCTAGAACCAAAAGTCGTCAATAAGCCCCCTCCTCCTCGAACAAGCCCCCACTTCTACTGTAAATCCTCGAATTGGCCCCCCTCGGCCGATTTGAGGTTACCTTCGATGTTTTACTAAATTTTCACATAAATTCATGCTTTTGGTGATAATCAATTAAATGTCAATAAAGAATTTCCTACTAAAATAGACAAGGTCTTTTAATAATGACTTCTTGATGTCTACTATAATTTTAAAGGACCCCTCCTTGTATAAGCCCCCCCCCCCCACCTCCAATAACCCCTCATCCAAAAATATCAAAAATAAATTCCCCAGGGGGCTAGTTCTGAGCTGTCCCCAGGGGACAGCTCAGAAAAACTTGGGGAAAAATTTGTTGAATTCCATTAGAAAGTTACAGCGAACAGCGCTTTATATTGAAAGAAAATTCATAGCAAGGTGTTCTAAGAATATGATACAAATTGCATCAATCAACTCGCGACAGGAGATGAAACAGGAAAACTGAAACATTTTAAAAACAAAGTGTAGTGTTCAAGTTTGTATGAAGGAAATCAGTATCAACTTACTGTGTCTACAATTTAAACTGTTGCTATATTCTTAATTTTCTTTAAATATATTGGCCTTATACCTAAAAAAATCACATCAACGGATGAAGATTACCCTGAGTTTATACTGCAGCAAGAATATGGGCAAGTGCATTAAAGTAAAGCTTAACAACGTTCACATGCTATCTAAGACGTGCGTGTCCACAAGGTATATTTAATTGCAGGATATCCTTTGAGGCTGAAAATTTCAACGTAAGTAATAACTAGACAATAAACAGTTTTTCAACTAATACAAAATTAATTAAAGGTAACCAACCAAACCAAGTTATGGTATTAGATCCATGATTAGATCACAAAGTTTTAGATATAAAAACAATATCAAAAGGTTCAATGAATTATCTCACCAACAAATATAAAAAACTTTCAGATATTCAATATACTTGACTGTAGAAAGCCAGAAAACAAGGACGTGGCCGCTGGAGTTTTAAAATATACATTAATGAAAACATTTGTCATCAGGTAAGGAACTTCCTTTAATAAACTTGCCCTTTAAACGCAAATAATAGTTACTAAAAATTTACATAGATTGAAATTATTGCATGGTACAAATACAGTATTGATAATTCAGGCAAATTAAATACGATAAACTAAATATTCAGCAAAATCGATAATTGAGCACATCTTAGCTTTAACTACTTCAAAAGGCTGCACTAAGGTTGAGGATCCAAAGACCTTTCATTTAAGCAGAAACAAATCGTTTTAAGGGAAGATTAACTTATTATCCATGGGACTATTAAGCCTTGAAATAAGAAACTTCAGATTTAGAAATAAATCCTTTTGACGAGAATTAATTAAACAGCAGAAACGGCTTGAAGTCTTAAAGATATTTCAAAAGACACAATCTTGATCAGCTACAAAATTCTCAATCTATTTGGTGATCAAAAGATGCCAACTGTAAATTTTCAATTTCTCATTTCTATGTAAAAAATAGAAAGCAAAAAAAATGTTTCTTGTAGTGTAAGATGTCTTTGACATATATCATACTTGTCACCTAATGAAATCGTTGCTGATGTGCGGGTGTATGCATTTGAAAATTGACGCTGCTCGATTTATTAAAAATTATTTAGAGATAAGAATTGTACAAAAATCATGAATATGAAAAGTGAACAAATTATGTGGGTATAACGCAATATAAGCAAAATTTAATTCTTAATTTGCTAAAAAATTATTTGAGAGAAGACAACATTTAAACAAGAAAACAAAGCTACATAGCTATAGAGTAAGAACACAAAAGGTAGTCTACAAATTCATTTTCATTTTTGTTACATCTGGATATAAGTTTCAAAATCAATTCATAGGTGTATGTTCGTATCGGGCTAATTTCACAGGCTAATTTAGTATAATAAATTCCTTCGTTAGTAACCTTATGGTTCATTAAAACCTTGGACACCAGCTGCTTGGGCGTCACTTGATCCAATCTCGATGAGGATGTTAGACGCTTTCGTTATTGTAAGCTAGCCTCGAAGACCCTGTTAGCTTTTTCTCGAAAAATATCAACCCTAGAACAACATTTCAGGCAACATAACTCAATCAAACGAGTTCCTAGATCAAAAAGTGCAAAACCAAATCCTTATGAGATTACGACCTTCAGAGATCGTACTCTTTAATAAATAAGGACACTGAAATGTGGGTTCTAAAAAAATTTCAACAAGAAAAAACGTATAAAACGGTAAATTGTCATTTCCTAAATCGTTATCGGAGGTGGGAAGATTCGAATTTCTGTTCTTTCTAGATTTTTTCTGAAACGCGAAGAAATGCCTAAAATTCTAGAATCAATAAAGAAAAGTGGACTGGTTAAATTTCTTTGATTAAAAGGTGCTGATCTAACGAAGGACTTACGGCAAAGTTAATTCTCCTGAATAAATATATATTAAGTCAACAAGGCTGCAATAGTAAAATAGATGAAGTGAACTTTATTGTGAAGATTCTGCCTTCACCAACGCCAATACAGAAATACTAGAAACCCAATGTAACGGGTTTTGCTATCACAAATAGAACTTTTCATCAAACAGCTAAGCACAGCAGTTTCTGCATTATTGGAGTCTGGTTCTACCTAAGCTTGTCACAGACAGCTGCCTATATATCTAAATATATCTCTAAATAAACGCAACTTTATCGATTTCTTAAACATTATATACCTTCGGTTTGTCTCTTCCAAAACCAATTTTCAAGCCTCCAACCTTTTTCACAGTGACAGTATCTCTATCTGAATTCTCGTTTTTATTTGCCTCTCGAATTGACGCATAATTTCCTAACTTAAGTGGCTCAATGTTAGAGTTCTGATCAGCATTTTCTTTCTGTTCAGCTTCCTCGCTATTTTCGTAACATGCATCTTGAGTATTGGGATTCGTTTCTTTCGATACAGGCTCCCGTGATAATGTAACTGGTTTTGCTGCATCAATCAAAGCAGCATTTAGTGATATTCTACGTAGCAGCGAAGGAGGTTGCACAGGTTCTGATGCGACTGACCCAGCTTGTTCAGACTGGATGCTAAAGTTACTATTACCTGGTGAAGTATCTTTTTCAGGTTCTAATGTGTCATTGGGTAACACGGGTAACATTCTTGCCTTATCTCCACCTTTGCTATTTGATCGTTCTTTTTTATCTTCATGCTTAATGTCTTTGTTCATAATACTTGACGAAATATTTCCTGATGATATTTCAAATCGTCTGTTTGGGATTGCCGCTAAATTCAAAACCTCTATCTTTTTATCGGTTCCTTTGTTCGAGTTTGGTTGGTTAAAGCTCTGGATTTTCTCCTTTATGCTTTCTCTTCTTACATCATCCACCGGGTTGCTGCCGATTGACTTTTGCTTGGGTAAAGTTTTCGGACCTGTCTTCGGTAAAGTTTTTGGAGGAACCTTCCTTGAAACAGTACTTTTAAGGATCGAAGCACTAGTTGATTTATTTGATCCAACGGTTTGCGATTTAGGTGGCGAAGCGCTTCTCAGATCATCGGGGGATATACATTTCGGCCTGTAGTTTCCAAGACCACTTTGAAATGAGAAATTAATATCATCCGCATCAAAAGCATTTTTAACAAGATCTTCTGAGTTCCTTGTTGTGTCATCAAGAACACCGGGGAGATAAACATGTTTCCCTTTGTTCATGTCTTGCTTTTTGGACATACCGACGATTGATTTTACACCTTGTTTGCTTTCATTGATGTGTGTCTCACTCTGTGAAATTTTTCTCTGATCATCAACAGCTTTTGCAGATAAGTCTGGTTCACTCTCTTCTTTTGATGTTTTCACTTCCAAACGACTATACTCTTTTGAGTGCTCATTGACTCCAGCAGCTACCTCAACCTCTTTATTTTCTACGGAAACGTTTTCAATTCGTTGATTCACTGACACATCACTGTCAATGTTGGGGCTGCTTTTCTTTTCAGCTAGTTTTGGCTTAAATGAAGATGTTGGCCTAAATACCTGAGGCTTGAAAGTGTACGGTGCAGATATATTGGACTGTTTTTGAACCTTCTTAGACGAATCTAATTCTTGCTGCTTTGAAACGTTTTCTAACTCGTTGATTCCTTGTTGTTTAATTACCGAAACAGGAAAGGCTTGCTCGTTTTCTTTATTCACAACAACACAAGCACCAGTATCACCGATGGTTGAAGACTCTTTCTCAATCTCGAAAATTTTGCCTGTGAGCTCATTCTCTTTCATTTGATGAGCATCTGAAGAGTTGACCTGTTGGAATTTCATTGAAGGCAACGTTTCATCCTTGACGAAAGCGACTTCCTTTTGCGAAGCATGATCTTCATTAAAAATTTGGTCAGTCACGTTTTTATTGTTCTGATTCACCTCTGACTTTAGAATTTGCCTACTTTCACTTATGCCCTTCCCAGTATTGTCTGAACTTTCAACAACTTTATCGTCTTTCAATGGCTGAGATGTTTTTAAATTCTTACTGCCTGCTTGTACTGTCCCTGAGCGTTCACTGGCAATTTGCTGTATCTTGGCATACAAGCCCAACAATGGTTTTTTTGTTGAATCGCTATCTGAAGTTCGTATTGCCGAAGACACCAGATTCGCAGATGGTCTTTTGGGAAGAACCTTTGGGTTTGCTTGAGAGTTTGCAACAGCTGTTTTGGTGATGGAACTTTGCTGTGCCACAGAGGCAGTTTCTTCTTGCTGCTCATCTTCAAGATCAATATTGAAACTAGACTCTATTTTCAACACTTTTTTGGGCTTCTCCTCTGTTTTAAAACTAACACTTTCTTCAATTTTAGAAGTATTTTCGTTTGTAATTACATCAACAGATGGAGGTTCAAAAACTTTGGCTTTTGGTGATTCTGACTGACCCTCCTCAAAATTTATCTCCTTTTCAATCACGAGAAAATGTCCTTTGTCATCTCCATTCTCGTGCTTAGTTTTTGGTGGTATTTTCTCAATCCTTTGCACATTCTCGTCTTTCAGAGTTTCGTTTTCAGTTTTTCCCTTTTCAAAAAGCTCACGTTGTTCTTTAAGTTGTCGCTTCAAGTCTTCAATTTCCTGTCGCTCTCTGATAAGTCGCTCATTCTCCTTTTCCTTTTGAATTTCCAATTCCTTGCGTAACCTTTCAAGTTCGCGAAACTCCTGTTGCTTCTTCAAATTGTCAATTTCATATTGTTTTTGCTCTTCATCTCTTCGTCTTTCCTCTTCCTCAATCCACCAATTTTCCTCTTCATCATTGCTGTTCTTTTGTTCTTCCATTATTTTATTTTTTCCACCTTCCTCGACTATCTTTCTTCCCTCTACTTCAACCCGCTCACTATGCTGTTCTCCAACTCTCCTTTTTTTCTCTTCCTCCATTCTCTTCTCTTCTTCTTCTGCAAGTTGTCTCCTTTTTTCTTCCTGAAGCCTTTTCTTTTTTTCTTCTTCAAACTTCTTCCTTGCTTCTTCCTCTTTCTTTTTTCCATTCTCTATTTCAATTCGAAGTCTTTCTTTCTCCTCTTTCATTTTCCTGAGCATTTCAGTTTCTTCTCTCTTCCTTAACTCTTCCTGCCTTCTTAAAAGCTCTTCATGCTTCTCTTTCTCAATTCTTTGCCTCTCTGCTTCTTCCAACAATTTCTTATGTTTTTGATCTTCCTGCTGTTTTCTTTCTAGCTCCAATTTTACTCTTTTTGTTTCTTCAGCTATTTGCTTTCTCTCTTCCTCCTCTTTTTGTCTTTCCAGTTCTTTCTTTCTCTTCTCCGCTTCGACAAGCATCTTTTGTTCTTCGTACTTTTGCTTTTCCTTCTGTATTTCCTCTTTCTCAGTACCCTTCATAGCTTTGTTAAATAGTTTGTCACCTTGATTCCCAAATTCATCGGTTATTTTCAGAGATTTTGCTTTCTGGGTTTCTATTTGATTTCCATTTATTTTTAAAGAATTGGTCGCATGTGATTCACTATGTTCAAAATCAACATTCATATGTTCGTTCCTAACTGCTTCCACCACTGAATCTGTTTCTGCTTCAGTAGTATCTGTTTCAAAACTTTGATAAGAGTCTTTCTCCGGTTTTTCAGTAAATGTCTCACTGTTATATCGAGCAACATGCTGTCCTGTAGAACGTTGTTTATTGGCATTGTTGTTATCAACTGAATTTTGCACTGCTCCTCCATATACACCTAATACGTTCTTTGTATCTAAACTTTCCTTTTCTTTATCAATCATCTTCTGAAGGATCGTCTGCTGCAGCAATAAAGGCTTGACTAATACTTCTCTCTGTTCTTCATCTTGAACGTCACTTAGCAGTTCCAAACTATGCAGTATTGTCTTCATTTGATTTTCAAGTAAATCCACAGAATATCCGACCCCCGTCTTGATTTCTCCTACAGCCTTACTGTTTTTACTTTCCATATTTGAATCCTTGATTTTAGCCTTGCCAGGTTTTGTCGATATCTAAAATTAAACAAGCGATAAATCAAAAGACGCATTATGTTATCTTAGTAAAAATAGCTCAGATTTAACTTCAGCAAACAAAAAGATAATCAACCATAATTAGCACGAATGCTCTGCCAGATTTTCCCTCAAAATTTCTAGCTAGATTTTAATATATGATTGCTAAAAATGTATGTAGAAGTAAACTATGACACATTAAAGAAGTCCGGGAGTTTTTCACCTAGTTGCTCCATAATTCCTTCGGTTTCAGGAAAATATACGTGAAGCATAAAAGTTCCTGCTAAGCTGAAATATTGGACTTTAGCTTTCCGCAAGACGACCTTTCAGAAATGCAAAAAAATACTGAAAACTGTTATCTAAAATACAAAATCTTGCATCGTCAGGGACTGACAAATAGGAAGGCAATCTATATTTAAATGGTTGCATTTAGCCGAACAAAGCAATAATTGCATTAAAAAGTACAAACCTTTTGTTTATCTTTTCCCGTGGACATCATCCTATACACATCATTGCTGCTGACCCTTTCCCTGACTTCACTATTTGACTTTCCAATATCCTCCCTGGTAGCATGATTTTCAAGGGGATTTCGCTCACCAGATGAATCAAGCTTCAACGATTTTCTAACTTCAAGACTTTTGACAAGTTCATCTAAAAATTTGCAAAGCCAATGTTAGCAAATATAAAGACTTGGAGCAAAAAAACAGCCACAAGGCTAACAATTTTTTAAATATGAAGCATACTGATAAGCAAATAATTAAAAAAAGACAGTTTTGAATTGGCAGTCTACAACCATCTATCTTCAGAGAGAAATAACTTTTTACCATACAGCACATCATCATAGTAAATTTACTAGTTGAGAGTAAAAGCTAGAAGGAGCATTTGCAGAAACACTTAAATTTAAGATAGGAAAATTCTTGATTTGGGAAACAATTCAAATCAGAAAATCAGTTTATTTAAAAAAGATCTGAATTGTAAATTTATAAGTTAGTTTGTTCTATGCTTCAACAGCTCTGGCTTGAAATTACAAATGACTCATGTACTCACTCATAAAATTAGCTCCTTTATCTTGGATTGGAGTTGTGGCAGAGAGTGGTCCAACTGGTGAGAAGACCTCATCAGGCGGAGATTCAATAGGCGGTGGGGGCAGAAGTAGGGAAGGTGGGGACTTAGTACCTGATTCTAGTGGACCCGTGGACACCGATGACGAGCTGGCACGTCTAAACTGGGTAACAGTCTCTTGTGATTTCAGTGCATTTGTCCCGGTGTACGGTGCTGACGGTGGTGTGGAGTCAATGGTAGATTCAACGGAGCTGCCAGTACTCAAAGCACTTGGGGTGGGTGAACTGCTAGCTTCAGCACTAGGATTAACCCCTGGTGGCAGAGGTGCTCTTCTCTTCTCTTTCACAGACTTTTTTTCTGTAACTGCCATTCCAAAACCATCCTCTTCATCTTTGGAGTTAACTGATGTCATCGAGGAGGCATGAACCAGTTGTCTGTGTGATCCTGGTGGCAAAGGGGCCTTTCGTTTCTTCTTCAAGGCGATTGCGTTACTTGCTTTACCTTTGTTCATTTCGTGTATCGGTGAAACAGTGCCTAAGGAATAGGCTCTTCTAAGATCAAAGCCTTTGTCTGCGGATGTTGAAGCTTCCTGGACTGATGCAACCCTAGCAAAATCGTGGTTTGTCTTGGTGGGGCTTTCACAAAGAGCTGTAACCTTCTGCGCAATTTCCCCCACTTCGTCCAGCACCGATCGTGAAAGTTTGGTGTCTATAGAAAAGATGAAATCAGGATCGTTTTCTTGTTTCTTATCCAGGAACATAGTAGAATCAAATCCCCATTTGCAGAAAATTTTTGAGATTATTTCGCACAAATGTCGCAGTTTTTACAGGTTACTGAAAATTTCGAGTGAGATTAAAAAATACTTATCAGGACACACTATTTTTGGATGCATCCAAGAAACTTTTCAAGATATACCAGATACTTCGTTGTTAAAAAGACCACACATTTTCTTAACTATGCCGTGACAAAAACAACAGCTGATTAGAAGTTTAAGAAAAATTTCGGTATAGATGTTTAGTACTCTATTCATCTAACGTGATAAATACAAACTTCAACCCGTATTCGTTGAGCATGCTATAAATTGACAGCTCATTCCAAATACGTTTAAATGCATCGCAAACAAAACGGCAGGAGCAACAAAGTCTTGGCAGGTCCAAGCTGAATGCTACCTGAACTAAAAGCCATTGCGCAGTAATTATTCATAAGATTTTTCTATCAAAGATTTAGAATTTTTAAACCTAATATCTGGACTTCAGTTCTCTTAAGCACTAGCTTTTTATCAAATACAAACAAATGCATCACATCAAGGATGGCAATCTATTCGGTTTTCTGCATCAAATTATCAGAAGATATTAAACTAAAACGATTTAATATATTACCTCGGATTTTTTTAAGGTACACAGTGCCACCCTTTTCTGCGATGAACTCCTGAACAATTGCATGCACACGAGGCCTCTTCAGCTCATACTTCGAAACAGAATAATAACATATTTCAAATTAAGATTTTTATGGTCGAATGAGATCGTAGTCCTATGTGATAACCTGACCGTTCGACAGACGAATCCAAAGACTAACTAAAGTCGGAATGAGGAAACTGTGCGAAGGAATAAAAGTGATACATATTTCCGGCTTCCTGAAAGATTTCTACAGGGAAGCTTATGTTTCGAATAAAACAAACGCTGTGAAACTTTACACAAGTGCGATATTCTAATTTCTTAATAATTTGGCCTTTGTTGAGGGATGACGTGATGTAAACACGAACAATTAAAAAACAATGACACTTACTCGTCATGAATACATTGCCTTGGCTTTATTTCAGAAAATTGCACAGAGAACTTCGAAAAGGAAAGCCCTCTTTCACTTGTCTACAATGCTGTAAAGCATTATTTTCTAAACATCTAGCGACTTCTATTATTCTATACAACTGATAACTCTACTCTTTCAGTGGTTTCATCAATAATTTATCATTGTCGGGTAGGAAAAGTCGTGTTTTCGCGAGTTAACGGTTCACAGCAGTTAGAAAGAAAATGCTTGAGGTTTCACACATTCTTGCTTTTCCGAAAAAAGATTCGGAGAATCAATAAAACACTGCGATGCTAAAAGAATATCAGAGATTACGCAGCCCAATAAGGTTTTTCACGCTTTCAGTACAAGAAACATCTTTATTTTCCTGCCGGTAAATGATCTTTCAATGATTAAGTGGAAAATAAGATCAGAAACCCTTAAAAACACGAGTTTTCTGATTGTAATAGAATTCTGTTAACTTTCGTCAATGCAAAACAAAAAGCAAAACTGTTTGGTCGCATAAAGCAGCCTGTCTGAGACAAAACTTTAATAGCTAACAGATCCAAAGATAAGTGAACATAACAAAAACTGAAACTCACCGTATGGATGTTTGCAAGGTCGAGAAAATTAATCACCAGCTGATCAGATACCTGAGGCGAAAGAAATTATATAATAAATAAATTAATAACTGAAGTGAAGGGCAAAGTAAAGTAAACAAACCCAGGGTGCAAGGTCCATCAGGGCATTTGTTAAGGTACGCCGAAAATATTTAATTAAACTGTAAAAATTGTACGCTAGACAAAGAAAACTGATTAATAAAGGAAACTGTGGTGTACGAGTCTTTATTTTATCCTTTTTCATATTGACTATGTACGTGGCTTCTTGTTTTAAATCAAGTTTTACGTACGCCAAAAAATTTTTTATTGGGTTGCAGGCCGAACGCCGAAAAAAACTTCGAAGATCTTCAAGCCTTAGTACATGGAATGCACCCGGGAAAGAAACGAAAGTCGAAGAGGAATCAATTTTGCTTGAAAATTGTTCTTCTACCAAACACATCTTTAAAGCCCAAATGAAAGAAATTGAAATGAATAATAAAGTACTTACATTTAAGACAAAATCCTGGTCGGCCTACAACAAAAAGTAAATTTCAAAACCCCGAGCAGGTGATGTTTCAAAAAAGTAAAGATTAGGTTGAGGATTTTTCTTAAATCATACGTGCTTGCATCTTAACAAATTCATACTTGCAATTTGAACCATCGATGGCGTGCATAGAGGCATTGTATAAATGAAGTATAAACCTCTCAATCAAAACGCAGAATTCATTCAGAAGGATACTAAGATTATATAATAATAAAGTAATAGAAATAATAAAGAAACATCTTGAATCACTATGAGATGTAAGGTATCGAGCTTAACATACATCTGTGAACAAGAAAAATCTGGCTGCGTGACTGGGGTACAAATGTATTGAATCAGTGGGAAACACAATCAAAATCAACAATTTAGTTGCTTTGTAAAGCAGATCAGCGTACTGTATAGTAGCAGCAGGTCATTGAAGAGCAATCATATCAAAGTCGAAGAGGATGATTATTGTCTACATAAGTCAAATGCTCAACATGAGCAATTCATTTACGATAGTTTGCAGTACAGAGAATACTGGTTATCTTAGCTGCCGTCCCAGCAAGAAAAATTTTCTTCCACCACTGACAATCGCAATGGGGTGTGTCACCCAATCGGAAAAATTTGTTTTAAAAAGAACAATCTTTTTGCAATTTAAGGTTACTTTGTCGTAAAGTTTATGCTGGTAGGCAAATGAAGGATGACTCGCCCAGTTTGATGACAACTGGACCCTGTTCACCCCCCCCCTCCCCCCCCCCTCAGCACAAAAGCTAGAGACGGCCCTGCATATGACGTTGATAAGCATAGGTTCTACCTTCGATGGAGAGCTTGACCTTTCACTCTTCCCTTGCCGTTGGGAAACCGCACCAGGCTTCCTACCATTTTTTCTCTCCGTGATAATTTGCTTCGTGTCAAGGCTAAGACTCTTCTTTAGGTCTATGAAAACAACAACAACAAAAACATAACAAAATGATCTTGAACGGCGTTTACAAAGTCGCATTTTTTACTAAATTCAACGAGTTTTGACATTATTTAACGTTGTGTTGAAAAATACTACAAGAAAGCTGCTGCTTTGATTGAAGAAAGGGAGCTTGAAGGATAACAAGGTCAAAAATTCAAAATTTTCTCATTTGTTAATAGTGAAGCAGCCATGACATCAAGACTGCGAGAGGGACTCACGACTAATACTAGTGACAAAAAAATGCAGAAAAAAGGACCACCTCACAACGTCGAAACACAACAAAAAACACTAATAAACCAACTATCGTATGTGCTGAAATTTCGCCGCAACACACAACAGTGCTTCCTGAGAGATACATCATAAAATTGGGTAGCCTTGTATAAACAATCTTCATTTTTTCAATCCCATTGAAAAAGCCGCTGGATGGGCATGAAACAGCTCGTAACTAAAAATTAGCATTCGCCAAAAACACGTGAATCACCTGTATCACTAAATACAACTGTTACTTTCTGCACATGTAAGTGAGTGGAAGAAACAAGTGATTTTAAGGTGGGAAACAAAGGAGATGAAACAGTTGATCAAGGAAAAAGAAAAGGAGAAGAAAAATTCGACAAAGGGAGATGGATTCGTGCGTGGTAGAAACGAAGGTTTATGCCACGGTGGAGATAAAAAAAATTAGTGTGCTAAGAAGAATAACAGTGAAAAAAATAACAGTGAATTACGAGTAGAAAAACCCGAAATCTTCCATTCAACTAAACTCATGGGGAAACCAGCAGAGTCTGTGCGCAGGCTAAATCGAACGTCCTAGAAGAAGGGGAGGGGTAGTTGAAATTCTATTGAGCTACAGAAGGAAAGCAAGCAGCAGGTTAAAGTCAATAAGTAAACAAATTAAACCGGCATACTCAATCAAGATAAAGATAATCCGCATTTGCCACTGCTTACCTCGTTTGTCAACAAGTTTTAAGTGACTGCATTCCAAGTCTGCCATTTTGCATGAAATCGGAACGGGATTATTAGCTATGGTGTTGTAATTGATAGCATAGAAACTCTGGTTTAGATTTTCGTCCCCACACACGTTATCTAATAAGCCATCTACTGTGAGATTTTTATCAACTGTGAACTGGCGTGAATCACCATTCGCGAGTATTATGTCAATTGTCACACTTGATTCCTAATATGAAAGAAAACCCAAGACAAATGTTTTGAAGCAAGAGAAATTGACGTCATAAACGAAAAAGAGAGATAAAGCAAATAGAAGTTTCCATATGATATGTAATGTTAGATGTCCTTAAATGTGGCTATGTTCTATACGAAAGATTCGATTCCACTATCTTTATAAACAATAAATATATAACAATTACAACAAAAAACTGTTTTAATTTAAAAACAGTATCTCTAGGGTTTGTGAATCATTTTTTGCATTTTTCTCGTTTCCTAGTAAGAAAGATAGCACTATCTGATATTGACATCTGATATTGACTTCAAATCTCTACTTGATACAATTGTTTGTGATAAGAGAAGAACTTTATATAACCAGCTGCAGACTGTTGATTCAGTTGTTCTGACAATACTAAGCAGTCTGGAAAATTCTTTACAAAATAGGTTTGCTTTGGTATAATGTTCAGAATCATGTCACAATTCATAGAATGAGTAACAGTAACAGTCTAATAATTTTGTCTGCTGTTGGTTAATTTTTCTTGCCGAACTTTACTTAAATAATATGGTTTATAAACAAAATTGGGTATAAATTTGAGTGGCATGTATATAGAAAATTTGCTTAATTCAACTTTGATATTGTTCAATTTTTAGCATTAGTAATAGAAGCATAAATAATGATTTGTCAAAATTTGAATTCGCAAAACTCACAAAAGCTTGTGCAATGAAAACAAACAGATTTACAAAAGTACAACTCTCAATTGTGAGCTTTGTTAAAACGAAATCTTCGAGCAAGGCAATTTAGTTTTAGAATTTCTTATTTTGGACCATATGACCTGAAAAATACTTTAAGATTATGAATGAAAGAACAATCTGACAACGATGATGCTACGTTGGATCCTGGTTATGAGCCAAAGTGCCTTTGAGTCCTAAAATTCTAGTTCACTCTAAACTGAAATGAGTAAAAGTTTTCAACATGGTTGTTCCTTGTAAACCTCAAACATGAGTTTCCTTTTTCTCAATTGCAAAATTAAATTGTCAATAATACAATTGGATTCACCTTGGGCTAAATGTTTTACATCATTTTAGTCTACTCAAAAAGATCAAGATTTATTGAGCTCCAGGAAAATTTTTATGACTAAAAACTCATTTCCTACCTTCAATTTCTTGGCATTTTCAGCATGCACTAATTCTTTCACAAGTGCAGAGAGCTGATCACAAAACTAAAAAATAATTGATCATATAATATTTAAAATATAATAAAATGTTGAATTTGTTCATACATAAAATGCAAGCAAAAATACACAAACACAGACATGCAGCTGGATTTAAACAAGTTTAGGGAACAAAGTCTGTACAAAAACAGATTTCTTTCATATAAGTTTCATATTTACGTCTCTCTACTTTTGATCTCATTTTTCCTTGGTATTTTGCATTACAATAGTCAGGGGATAGGCAATCATATGAAGGACCCTGTAGCATTACAGACTGAGGGGGCTAAACATGCTAAAACCAAGAGCAAGGTGAATTTTACATGGATTTAAGTTTGTAAATTATGGTCTAGAAATATGATGGCAATAAATTTCTAAACAATAACACAAGAAACAAACCTCTTGTGCAATATTTGGTTTAGCAAATCTTGCCCCATGCACTAATTTTTCATCATCCCACTTTACAAAGTTGCCTTTCACATTTGACTTTGTTGAGGATGTGATGGTGTAATTCAGCAATTCCTATGAACAATGAAAAAATGCTATAATAAGAAACTATGCAAACCACAATGCCTTGATGAAATACATCACTAATACACCATGTTTGTCTTATATTTATCTATAATTTTAAACCAATCACTGATAGCATCAGATTGACACAATACCACTTTTCTGCCTTTGATTTTTAGAAACACTCAATTTATTTGATATATATTAGTTAATATTTCACAGCAGCAATTCTAAAACTTCTAGCCACCAAATGGTAAAGAGATATGCTGACATTAAAGAAAAATAATATGGGTACACATTCTCCAATTTGTGCTTCTCTTAAACAAATAGAGCATATGCTCTTTTTTTATAAGAGCTGTATAGAAACATAAGCCTAAAAAATAAGAACAAATTAAGAACAAGCTCAGGCTGAGCTACAGTAAAATTTAAAGGCATTGAGTCATGGTAAATAGACCTTCTCTATATGGGGTCAATTGGTTCAGGCGTGATCGCTGCTTTTTAATGTGATATTTGCATCGGTTGTTGACAACTTGCGATTGATGGAAATTGTTTTGTCAATCAGTACAAGGTGAGTTCATGTGACCAGTTCCAGGTCAACCAATAGCATCGCTATCATGAAAACCATGACTCAGCTGATTTTGGCACTTAGGGTATACCCAATCCACTTTATCATGACTCAATGCCTTTAAGTTTGAAGAACAATATTTAATCTCAAAAAGGAGTTTTTTGGCATCTATTGGTTCTTTTTTGGTGAATTTTGACATTAGTAGGCAGACAAAGGATGTTCTACTCATTTTGTTGCCGAATGAGGCCTGAATGGCTCCTTAGAGCACAATAGCTAGCAATTGCACTGCTTACACTAATTATTTAAGAGAAAAATAAGAATAAAATTTCTGGTTCTTACAAAAATAGTGTAAATTATTGCCAAGAAATTAGGCATATATTTTTCAATGCAGAAATTTTCAAGAAACTGCAAAAAATATGACATGGAACTCAATTCCACTTTTCACCAAAATAGATTGAGCTGAAACTTAAATTCAGAAGAAAACCTATTGAATCTTTAATCAAGTGATTACCTAGTGATCAAACTCTGATCAAACAAGGGAGTAAAATGTTACATACAAGACTGAGTTGAGATTTGATCACCATGCAACTAAGATCTAATCCAAAATAGAGACTTGTTTCTTGAAAAAACTTTTTGCTACATAAAATAAATCCTCAGGCAGTTTGTTGCCACATTAAACAAATCCTCAGGCAGCAATAGATCTAAACAAGAAATCATCCATCAGGAAAATTAATGGCAACTTGTTACCCTTTCTTGAGAGTCTGCTGCCAGAATCTGATAAGTGCAGTCAACATCATTTCTTTTGTCAACAAAATTAATTCTTATGTAATCTTGAATCTTTGTCTGCCATTTGTTTTCTGGGTCAAAGGAATACACTATGCCATAAAATGCGCCAATTATCACAGTTTGTGTTTCTGCAGGCAGCTTAGGAACTCTTGACCTTGGCTGAGGTGGCATAGCTGGTCCAGATCTTTTCATTTCTGCAAGAAAAGATAGAGTCTTAAGAGAGATAACTCTCTTTATGAATGGCATGGGAAATTTAAGAGAAGTTTGTTCAGAAAGCAAACATTCATAACGGGAAACAAAAAGGTGGCAACATCCTTTGTTCCCACAATTAAATTGAAACATTGGTGTAAAGATTTTATTCTCCAACACTTAATAGGGTCTCTTCATAACAGAATCAAAATAAACCGGGCATACACTCTTTGATCTAAGTCTTAATATGCCAATTATATTATCGTGTTGGCATTTTCTGTTAACGAAAATCCTTGTCTTTGAATGTTTGTTTAAGAATATGTAGTGTTTACAGAATTCTGGTTCAAAACCTCACGTTACCAACTGAAAAATTTTGACTTCTAGCGACTCAAACAAACCAAATGTTGTGGTAGCCGAAATAATGTTGGTCGAGGAGTACAAACCTTTCCTATCCTTGAAGAAACATGAAATGCATAATAAATGCGTTGAATTTGGCAAAAAATATATGTCTTTAAATACTTTAACTATCAAAAGTGTACTAAATGAAATATTTACCTAAATAAAATGTGTTTCACCAGCCTCCAGATAGTTATTTACATAGACATTCGGCACAAATTAATATCAGCTTGAATGAAACAGCCATTTAAATTTTCCGAACAAGTAGACCATAAGCGCGTTCAACTGAATTATCAGAATCTGCTAACAGTAACATCGATAGTCCGATGAATTTCAAGTGTCAAGCACTAAAGTGTATCAAAGAATACAAGCGCTTTCCAAATCATGAGTGAGTGACGTGCATGCACTCAAATCTCGCCATATCTACAACCAAGCAACACATTGTTTTCTCTTGTAAGGCGGGTAAAGTTGTGTCATCGAGGTCAAGGAGGTCTTATTCGAATTCAACGGATTACTCAAACTCAAATTTTTTTCAGCGAGCAAACAAATTAATTACAATATACTGATTTAAAATACAATTTCTAGAAAATTTGAAATTAGAGCAATAAGTAAGATCAGAAAATTGATTGGTATTTTATTATGTTGAGAGACACATGCAGGCCTGGTTTCAGGAATTTTTTTTTGGGGGGGGAGGGGGGGGGTGCAAATTTTTATCTACCGAGTACATTTTGGCAGCATTACACTGCGTTAATGCAATCAGAATATTTCAGCATTGTTAATATTTAAATTTCAGCTATTACAAAGCAACTTCAGCTGTAAAACTATGAGCTTTATGAAAGTTCTAAAATAAGCTTTTGTGGTCACGTAGTTTATTCAACCTTTAGAAACACTGAATCGAACTCTTCTGTTCTTTAACTGGACCCACTTCTTGATAACAGATAAGATAAGATCATTTTATTATCAGTCTTTTTGTGTCATCGTTTAGTTTAAATGATTCCTACACAGAACGGAGAGTCTTTAACAAAAATGCAAGTAAATTGGGTGTGGTAAGAGCGTGGTCATGGGTGTGGCCTCTTGAATTTGCTGCCAGCATGGCCCCCCTTCCCAACTTTTTAGGACGGCACCTGTGGCCATAATATAATTATATAGCCATTCTTCGTATATCATGTTTTTAATGTCATTATCATTCAGGGGCATAGGAGGTATTTCAAATTCTAAAAGCTTATAACGAGGTTTATGTTCCTCTTCTCTGTCATTCGTTCTTGGTTTTGTTTTTGTTGGAAAATATCATACATCAAAAATGGACCACTGTTTTCAAAAATGCACACAATCCCAACGAACAGGCCCTTTCTGGCCCTTTCGAGGTACGGGGATCCATACGGACGGTGCCTCAAGGCATAGGGACAGGAAAAAACGATTTATGAGCAATGGTATTTTTATGTCTTCGTTGTAGAATGGTTCATTCATATATGTGAAAACTCAATTGACGTGCGTTATTGCCTTTTACTGAATTTAAATCAAATATAATTGTATAGGAAATGATCTAATTTTTCCGGTATGTTAAGGAAAGAACCCTGAGAAGCATGACACCAATTGTACCAAAACAACTCTAAGAATGCAAATCACCTCATACTGAGCAAAATGGTTTAACACTTCACTACAACCACAATAAAACATTCCCTCACCAGAGCTTCCACTATGTAGTCCTTCACCTAAAACAAGAGTTCTTCAGCTATCTGCTTCTTTTAAAAAAATAATATTTTTTGAAGGACGTTGAAGCAAACCAAATGCCAGTCTTCACATCAGGGTCTTCTTACCCATAGAGATGGTCTCACCCCTGTTTCACGATTGGACGTTCCTGCACATCACTCGATATACGAAAATGGTTTATTATTCTACCTTTCAACGGGTAGCAGATGATCCCGTCCGGAAAATTGATAGGTGAAAATTTTTTAATGGAAATGGAGCGAGGATCACTTGTTGTGGCAATTTGGCGATGGAACGGTGAAACAAAAGAGGGCCGTAAGGTCTTTAGATTGCGAGGTCAGAAGCGGAGATTGTATAGTGTAGTGGAATTAGATATAAAAACGGTCTAACCCGGATAAAAATAATATAAAGCTGTAATTTGGCACAGATGCTCTATACTAAGTCGGAAATGACCAGAAAAAAAACCCCATCAATTGGACATTGGGAATTCCTTATATGTGCAAATACCACAATGGCGCACTGATCAGTAGTGGTTCAAAATTTGAATGTTGCTAAAACCACATAGTATGTACATCTTTTGAAAGTTAATTTCATGCTGAATAACTTTTATTTAACATACGTACCCTTAGAATATGCAAATTTAGTGGTGATTGGGCAGAAACAAAGTGGGACGAGTGAATATTGAAAAGCGCGCGGAAAAATGGCTGATCCTCCTGCTGAATATTTTCATTTTATATCGCAAATTCCATCGATGCAAAATCATTAAGTATGTGAATAAGATAAAGTATTATAATACCCTCTCAGCCCGGGCTGACTCAACCCGGGCTCACTCAGCCCGGGCTGACTCTAGTGAATATTTTTTTCTGCAGCAGCAGATTCCGGTCAAATCTAATGAAAAAAACAAATATTCAAAACAAAGTTACTCGCGACCGAACGGTCCAAACAACATGATTTTTTCATTATAAACTAATTTAAAGATGAAGATTTCAAGTCTGACAGTTTTTCAACTTTTTTCATTGACATCCTCCATCTTTGTAATTTTTGTTACTAAGACGTAAGAAACACTGCCAAATTCAGTGCAAATTCAAAGTGGCTGCACAAAACTACAGCTTGATGCTGGGCCAGTAATATTCCCTTTATGCCTTTCTTTACCAGAAAAAGAGATAACTTCCAAATTACGTATAATCCAAAAAATTGCAAACTTTTCAATTGAAAAGTGCGCACATGAAAAAGAGGGTGTTTTGAGAGTACCTAGGACCCAAAACCCGGAAAATAGTTATGAAAAACGGAAAACCCGGACTTGGAAATTGGAAAATCCTGAGACAAATATATATACTTCAACGTGGTTCACCTTTTCCCGTGTTCTGCATTAAAAGACCTTCGTACCCGCAGTTATTACCAGCAAGAATATTTGTCTGCAAGGCACAGGGTAGATCCTTGCCTTTTTCTCCAAATGAAGATGTCATCAGTGTTTGCGGTAGAACAGAATTTTAGGGAAATTTGTCGTAGATTGCAGAAATCTGGCAATTTCTCAACGGAACGAGGGAATTCTACACATTAACCGGACGCAGATTTTTTTAAAATAATACACGGATTGCAGAAATTTCAAAATGTTTAGCGGGATTCTTAAGCTGCTCCTTGTTGGATAGGATTTCATCATTGCATTTTTTGATCTTGTTAATATATAAGTTGTTCATAAATAAACTTTTATACATTCAGAGGTGGCGCCAGAAATCTTCCGACAGAGGGGTTGGAGCTTCCAACAGCGGGGCTAAATTGACTATAATATGCAGTTTTCGTACGTTATTTTGTCAAATTTGCTCCGACAATAACCTAAAATTTTCTTCCGATAGGGGGGGGGGCTAGATGCTTCCGATGGAGAGACTGTAGCGCCCTAGCCCTCCCCTGGCGCCACCACTGTATACATTCTATTGCCCAGTTGCCCACTATCTGCAATTTTTGACCAAAAAGTACTTATTTCCACATTGTAAGGGCGTGTATGTTGAATAAAAGTTGTTCAGCATGAAACTGTCTTTCAGAATATGTACATATAATGTGGCTTTTTATTATTTTTGTCCGGGTAAAATCGTAATTCCAACACACTAGTATTTTAAACGCACACTCAAGAACCCTGTTTCTAACGATACTGACTTGTCGTAGATTGGGGATAGAGCGAGGTTCAATTTTGAGTCTAACAGGGATTTTCTTGTGCTTTTACATTCTTTTTTATAAGAACCAGTAA